ACATTGCCACTGCGACCGCTGCGCTCTGCTCGACTTCGCCTTCGTGACTAGCACTTGGACGGGGCGTGAAGCCCTGAGCCTCTCCACTTCCTCCTACCACCTGCGCTGCTTCGCTGACCGTGTCGGTCACTGGCGCTCTGCAACAGCCGGGCGCGGCGCTTCTGCACACCGCCGCAGGCGCCTCCGACCGGACCGTTAGCCATTACCGGCCGGCTGACCTGCAATGGAACCGAGCCGCTAGCTAAGCGAACCGTGGGATGGCATGGATGACCGAGTTGGCTCCGACGGGCGGCGTTCGTCTGCACCGTGCGGCGACCACCGGCGCAGCGGTGTGCACGGTGCATGGTGTGAGTGGCGAATTCACTGTTTGAGCAGTGATCCAGTGACGGCTGTCTGGGCAGTGTGCACTCGGTGTGAACAGTAAACATTAAGCCACTGTGTGAGGCTGTGAGATCGGCGCTCACCGTGAACTCGGTGTGAACAGTGAGCGCTTAATCACCGTGTGAGCAGTGCGAGAGGCGCTGCCGCTCGCTGTGCAGTGTGCAGTGTGCACCGCTGCGCACAATGCGGTGAACTGCGCCGGCGGCCGGTGCTGTAGGCGTCACTGGAGAGTGGAGTATAATACCGTCGGCAGCGACCGGCGGCCGTCAGAGCGTGAGCGAAGAGTGTCTTTACTACCTAAATGGCTTATGTAACGCCGCGAATACCCAGTGGCTGGATTACTGATGCCACCGTCAATTTACCTACGCATTTTGGTTACAGCGGTTAGCGTGAATAATAACGTGCTGGGAAATTGAGATGATTTGATTCACTCAGACCGTTATTCTAACCATGACACGATTTTCGATGCAGTCTATGTCACTTGCAAAACACGGGCGATGGATTCATCGTTTAGGTACCGTAAAGTGGGGCTATTTGAGACAGTGGGGCTATTTGAGACAGTAAGGTAGTGGTTTATTAAAACCGCTGTAAAATGAAAACCGTTTGATATTTTTCGTCATTTTTGCTTAGGCTGATGTGGAATTGGACAGTGAATGACCTGAATAGCATTTTTGAAAATTTCGAAAAGTTTTGAAAGAAATTTAGCATAGAATACGAAATACAGAAAAACGCACAATTTAAGTTGCTCGAAAAGGACCCCTACCTGCAGCTTAACATGGTTGAAGTTTTGACAGCTTCGCTACTGGATCTATCGTTACTAGCGTTTTACTTATAGGCTAAGCACATTTTTCATGAAAATATTATACATTGTTAACGTTACTGCCGATTGCGTAACCCATTGTCTCAGAATCCCGATGATGCCCACCTGGTCAAACCTCAACCGATATGCCTAATAACTACTGATAATGGTGATGCCATTGCACCCGAGAAGACTTATCACCATCGACTTGAAGTGCATCGAACGTTCGACATGAGCAACACCGCTGAATCGGTCGTGGCCATAAACGTGCAGTGGGTTCATGTTGGGTACTTTTAGCAGCAAGCAATATTTACATGTTCGTAGTATAACATAATGACCCTTTAGCTGGTGACCAAACTAGTTATTCTGATGAATATGTGCTTAAAATGTGCTTCATCAGTCACTGACTTAGTGACAATCAACACATGTCTGCCTTGGTTGACCAGAAACACCATTGAAGATTACTTAACACAAGAACGTCCTGTTAGGTGAGCCTATGCAAGTACACTTGATGTGGTAGGGTAACCGGCCAATTGATACAGCGTGCAGTGATCGAGGAAAATCGGCATAAAATCAAAACCGCTTAACATTTTTCTGTTATTTCTTCGCACGAAGATGTGCAATTGAACAAGGAATCATGCAGACCATTCACTGAAATGTTTTGGGAAAGATTTTAGCTCGTTTGATTCATTACAGTGTGCTTCATTAGGTAGCGAGCCTGTCTCAAATAGCCCCACCGACTTTCAGTATATCTGTTTTCACGCCACCAGGGTTATATACGAAAACTTTCTTTCAAAATTTTACTGTCGTTGACTTTGAAATGGTCCTCAATGATCATCCTGTCATTTTGAAAGTTTAGTGTCACATCATATTATGATAGCCTTAGCATAAAGTGATGCAATTTTATAACCTACCGAAATGAAGCATCCTACGAAAAAGGAAAAGATCGAATACAAAGGAAATATTACTGTCTTTGCAAAAATAATTTTTGCCAGAATGATCAAAATTTAACTTCCAATCGCATGGCGTTTAAAAAATTATCTCTAGCGTGACCAATTTTCTTCAATTTCTTCGTAACTAAAACTGTCTCAAATAGCCCCACCCTATGGGGCTATTTGAGACAGGCTTTAACTAACAAAATATCCTTAATTACTATCACTAGCTGAAGCAAAATGCACCTATATGAAAGAGCTCACAGGGAACTACATTTTTGCAATTTACATGCTATAAGAAATATGAACCGCCTTAAAGGGAGAGGCCAAAAACTGTAAAACCCGTTTCAAATAGCCCCACTTTACGGTACTTGTCGGTTAATAAAGCGAATACTTGTCAAGCTAAGGTTTTCTGTCGTTGCAATAAAAACCTGCATAAAGTGAACATTGACAGTGCACTTACACGTGTCTTATTCTCATGCGCATTACGATGAGCGGTTAGTGGGTAGGCATTATTTAAGTATTTACCTTAAGTAAAGGTCATTAGATACCCTTTCGAGTAATAAGACCCTTTACTCAAGAGGCGCCTCCTCCTCTTCTGATGAAGACGAGTTGGCTGCCATGCTTGTTGTCGCCATAAAATGACGACCACTGTTGTTAGTGACAGTAGCTACTGTTGTTAATACGATGAGTAGCCACTCTTGAGCATTAGTAGGAGAAGTTGTAGTTAAACTTGTCGGGGTGGTCCTTCCATTCTTTCCCAAGTCTGAACTTAAAGACATCGACATTTGGTGCTTCAATAGTGTTCCTAGACAGCTTGTTCCACGCCCGAGTCACTCGTGCCGCGAAGAAGGCTTTCCTAGGTCCCAACTGATGCTGAACCTGCAGCTTTTGACCATGACTTCGGGTGGTACGGCTAAGAGAGTTCTTGAACATGCTGTTGCGACAACACGAGCACTCTCTTTGGTAGTTCACCGTGTCGAAGCCTTTTAAGATTTTGAATGTCTCGATAATATCTGATCTTTGCCTTCGGAATTCAAGGGTAGGCAAATTGAGGCTTCTGAGACGATCTGAGTATGACAGGTGAGACAGCCCCTTCACCAGTCTCGTTGCCCGCCGTTGCACCTGCTCGAGTGCGTCTTTATCCTTCTTAAATTTGGGGCTCCATATAACATTATCGTACCAACTACTCGTTATTTTCTTTTCATATCTTCCGTGAAAAAATATATATTATCGTCTCCAATGAGCCCTGTTTTGTCTTTGCGTAGCGCCGCAGCACGTAGTACCTACACGCCAAATTTCCTAAATCTTGCATAGAGAGCCAAGGGGGATAACGCTTTCTTTAGAATTGGAAGCAGACCGAGTTGTCGCCAACATTGTTTTCTTTAACACTGTTCAGGTCATTATTACTCACTAGGGGAGAGCGGGGTGAGTTGTATCATGGACAAGTAGTATCAGAGCGAATTTCGCCAAAACTATCCGCCAGATCGCAGACTTGACGCCACTGTTCGGGACGCCGCGTTGCGCGCCGTCTTTCCGTGTTGTGCCGTCAACAAGAGTGGACGCGTTTTCGGGCGAGTAACGAAAATGTGTTTTGATGGGTCCTTAGTAAGAAATGCGTTCTTTAGGAAATATATGTTTTTGGCTTTTATATGTTGAGAGCTTTCTATTGTTTTACCACTATAAGTGAGAGTCAACATTGCTCTTAATCACAACATAATTCGTTTCGCGCAACGAAACATGGCGTATAGCGTTTCATAGACCTTCTCTTGAAATGACGCACTTGGACAAGTTGTATCAGAGTGTGGTGGGGAATGTTGTATCAGTGCTACTACAACAGTGATGTCAGTGATATCAGTGATATCAGTGATATCAGTGATAGCAGTGATACTACAGTGATACGGTGATAATACATTTAGTTTCGGACAAACAGATCGCGTTATGCGCTTATATTGAAGAAATGGTTCAATGATTTTGCTATAGGGTCATCCGTACCCTTCAGCGACACCAAGAAATCGTTGATCTGCTGGCTGGAGCTGGACGTCGCTATTCAGGATACTTTTCTTGTTCTCTGGACTGTGTAGAAGTGTATATACAACGTCACACTTTCTAATCATAAACCGTTGATACATCTTTACCCACCGTGCGGTACAACTTACCTCACTAGTGAGGCGAATTGTATCAATTGAAGTGGTCCCATTTAAAGCGAGGTGTAGGCAAGATAAGAAACCTTAGCGTAACGCGCAGGAGAGTGTATGTAGACAAACGTTGAAGCTTTCCTTTGGTATAGCAACGGTCATTCTCCTTGTTAAATCTAAGGAGAAATTTGACCTAGAGTAAAAACTGATACAACTCACCTCGTTCTCCCCTACACCGACTGTTACGGAACAGTGTTCCAGGATCCCGTTACGTCGATACTGCTTGAGGAAACATGAATAACTCGGCGCAAGTATCGAGATAAAGCAGATTTAATTATGCAGGTCTAGTCGACTGAAACCGGCAGAGCATCCGACTCTGTGGGAATAGCCGGGTGGTGCTCGAGGTGTTCCTGTCCTAAATACAATATTGTGAAGTTCGTGCATGATGCATAGCTGACCCTGGTGCGCGGCTGATGAGAACATCTGTAGCCGTTTGAAGTCACAATTTGACCAGGTCCGAGAGTCAATAGAACGGGTCGTTTGAGGCTACGTGGATAGGTTGAACTTTCACCTGCAGTTCTGCAGGCTAACTGTAGTTTCCGAATCGGACAGTAGCATCATGCAATATGCAACATCACCAACTTTGTGTTTTAGCTACCCGTTGCCGACTGACACAGCACATCCATTCAATACGAGGTGACGCGCCATTGGTTCCACAATGTAAAACTCCGCACGTAGAAACAAGCTCGATCTCATGTCTCAATTCGTATTCACATATCACAGCACATACGGAACAATGATAAGCCACCGGAATAGTGCGGTAGACCATTCCACCTCCGATACAGGGTGGTCGGCCGCGCGCGTCCGTAACTGACTGATACAGAGGCGACCACCACCGCCACCCGGCCGCGCCCATCACTCGCTAAAATGCCTCCATCAAATGGAATAAACTGCAGACTGTGCCCATCACGACCGCCACGCGATACACCCCCTGTCCCTGACGGCGCTGAGATGCGCAGAATAACCGCCCGGGACACTGTCACGGTCCCTTCGATCGATAACCGTACCCCAGATACACACCAGTGACCCGGCGGGCGGCCCTCGGTACGCCCGCCCTTGGATAGCCTCCGCACAGGACACTACCTCCGCTACGTGGGGCCGTATTCGATACAGCGAGCCTCCAGCGGTACCCAAATAACTCACAACTGAGGACCATACTCGGTATAACGGACCTGACTACAGTGGGTCCCTCCATTTCGGAGCAGAGGAAGCCTCTCAGGAGTCTGTCGGCGGATGGCCGCCCTCCGGAGACAGATCACAGTCGCCGGTGACCGCAGGCCGGCCTCACTCAACGGCCAGTCACATAACTGACCGCTCCACAAATGGAAGGGAGAATATTGATTCCTACTCATGATACTAAACTGAAGGAACAATCCTGCCTCTCCGCGGCAGTAATTCTTCTTGACCAGGTAGTACTCAACAAGTACATATTAATCCATTGCACGCGCCGGAGTCTGCAGTGGTCTCCGGCTCCGTATGAGAGCTCAGTGCCCCGCCCCGAGCGGTCCGGCCGGAGCCCCGTGCCGCCCACTCAGCTGTGGTGCTGGTCGGAGACGGTGCTGTGGGCCGCCGGCCGCCGCCGCCGGTTTCACGCCGTACCGCCGCCGGCCGCCAGCCGCTGCTGCAGTGGACGGTCGTAGATCCAGTTCTCGTCGAACTTGTGGAACAGCTGAGGGCGCAGAGGGCGGCGCGGGTCAGAGGGAGGTAAGGTGTTGATGGGTATGAAGACGATAGACACTGTACAAGGAGGAAGTGAGGGAGAGTGGGGCTCTGATTAGGCCGGCTTTGGCGGAGCTCGACGAAAGCAGGTGATTTAGATCGAGCTGAACAACACAGCTGACTGAAGCTGGTGGTCCAGGCGCCACTCGACAGCCAGAACAGCATGACTTATCCCTATCTTGCCGGCCTGTGCTCTCGGCGCAGCATTCAGTCCCTATGTTTATCCAAGTCCGAGATGGATAACCCGCAATACCAGACACACCATCCCCTAAACATTCCCCGATTACGTACCTTGGTCTCCCACTGTAGGTTTCGCTCCTTCCGCTGCTTGGCCTCGTCCCTCTGACGCTGCTCCAGGAAACACTTGGCGTCCGTGGCCGCGTCTATGTTGTTATACCTAAGAAATGGAGCAAGATCGCCCATCAGACAGGCTAGGCGTCCATATGCGTCTAGGCCATCAGAAACGGCCATCTACATACAGGGACAGTGTCATTCAACGAGCGCTCAGGATGTACAAACAATATTGAGAAAAATAGCATAGTCTAAGCGTTGAATAAAACTGCATAGTTTGTAAGTAGTTTGACGTAGACATCTTAATTCAGAACCCTTGCCGTCCCACATCTTTAGCCCACTACAATTTATTCTGGGAAACCCAGGGACACCAGCGCGGCCGAGTGGTCGAGCATGTCTGCCGGCCGGCGTCGCTCACTTGAGGTTGTAGGTGACCTCCTTCCAGAGCCGGCGCGACTCGTACTCGTCCTGTTCGGCGATTGGCAGAACCTTCTTCTTGGTCAGCGGCGCCGTGTGCGTGTCGATGAACGTGGTCGGCTCCTGAAGCCGAGAGAGGGGTAGAGGGAAGTCAAATGGAGACCGTGGACACATAAGCTAACTAGAGCAGGGGTAGAGCTGTGTAGGAAGCAGGGTTGTGCTTGACTCATGAGTCGAGTCAGAAATTTGACTCAACTCTGACTCAAATGAGTCAGGTTTGAGTCGAGTCGGATAAAATGTTGAGCTGTTGAGTTGAGTCAGAGTTGAGTCGGACAAAAATATTAAGGTGTTGAGTTGAGTCAGAGTTGAGTCAGTAAAATAACTTTTGACATTGAGTTGAGTCAAAAACATTTAGGAACATGAGTCAGCTGACTCATCTTTCTAGAAACAACATATATAAGCTTTTCATCTACCCCCCCCCCCCCCTAAATAACTTAGGCCCCTGCTACCAGATTTTTTTTCATCCCCCCCCCCCCCGCTTAACAACTTTTTTATCTGAGTCAATTTTGAGTCCACACTTGACTCAACAAAAAATTTGAGTCAAGTTTGAGTCAACTCATATTTTCATTGAGCCGCTTGAGTCATGAGTCGAGTCAAAGGAAAAAATCAGCTCCTTGTTTGAGTCAGAGTTGAGTCAGGGCTTTCTGAAGTTGAATGATGAGTCGAGTCGGCAAATTTTTTTGAGTCGAGCACAACCCTGGTAGGAAGCCAGTGGTGGTGAGTAACTCGACCGCACCCGGTGCACGCATTTCTTCCTTATTTCACTACGACCTCCTGTTCTCCTATCCTCCCGCTCCTCCAACCCTGATGCACGTCCTGGCGTCCATCCCCAGTGTTCCTGGCTTTCCCACAGCCACCATAATTCTTCCTCATCGTCCCTGGCTCTCCCACACTATCTCTGACACTCCTTTAACACCTCTGGTTACCAACACCGTCCCCGACATTCTAGCCGCCCTACCACAGGCTCCGTCCTCTCCGCCCCACTCACCGCGCCGTCCTGTTTAATCTGCATCACACCGTTCCAGGCGCCCTCCACGCGCAGGAAGGGCCGCCGCGCGCCCGGCTCGAACGCCTCGGCCACGATCCGGTGCTTCTTGCCGCCGTAGAAGGGCTTGGTGAGGAACTCAACGTTGGCGTAGTAGCCGGTCTTGTTACAGGAGATGGTGATGGCTCCTCCGAGCTCCACCCACGGCACGCTCAGGATCGACCTAGAGATGAGGCCGGCCGGGTCAGTTCTGACAGAACAGGACACCGAAAGGACTGGTAGTCTTGTGGGTTCCAACTCGTAAACAAATAATACGATTAGGACGAGATAAAAACAATGGTTAATTATTGAGACATTAGTCTTTCGTCGATTCAGTCTGCCCATATGTCGTAAAAGGCAGTCATAATGTTCTTTTGACTCAACAGCGTCATCAACAGTGTTGCTGATGGAAGCATGGTGCGAACAAAAGCGTTGTTGTTCGTGAAACTGAGGCTAAATCATACAAGACGCTGACGTATGGTCACTGCCACTGACCATAGACTAGTCCCACCAAGAGCCGGAGCCGGAGCACCCACCTGCCGTAGCCGCTGGGGAAGCTGAGGATGTACTCCTCATCCCTGTCCAACACGGAGACGCACGCCTGACCGATGTTATGGACGCCGATACTGAGGCCGAGGAACTTTGACTTGGTCCAGATGTGGCCGCACAGCGACACGCGCTTGTCGTAATGCTCCGCGTAGAACGCAGACACTGCAATCGGAACAGGAACACGTCAACTATGTGGAATGGATACAATTAAGTAGACTTGGATAATACAGGCGATAATACTGTAATCTAGTCAGGGATACAAGCACACATCCGAGTTTAACCGTATATACTGACAGGCATCAATTATGACAGGCACCAGTGTCATAATAAATGACAAGTGGCAGGCGAAAAGCTAAGGTGGGAGGAGAAAGGTGGGGGATTGGAAGGGTGAGCCTACGTCCGTGTCACGACCCGACGATAGAACCGACATCTATAGGCATTCAGTGACTATAGGAAGCTCAGGAACTTAGTAGCTCAGCCAGACACCTCTTTTGAACAGTTCTATCGTCTAAGCGAAACCATTCTTCAACCCATTGGAACGAGTTAAAAGGTTTTAGGTACTAATAAGTTGCGTGAAGAAATCTGACCACGCTGAAAAGTTGAGAACTGTTTATAAACTAAGCGTTTTAATTTAAAAAAAAAACTCGGAAAATAGCGAATGTTTGGATTTTGGAGCAAAGTGGTCATCTATGACACATTCATGATTCAATACACATGACACAAGACAACAGAGCTTGCTGAGCATACGGGTAGAATGTCTGTTCCATTCAGGGCTGCAGGGTTCCCTGAGGACTGAGGGTTAGCCAGACAGTTGATTCCCTCCGACCGTTGGCCCGTCGGGCGATCTGGCGCCAGGGGCCAGCCGCGTGACACCGAACCGGTCGGCACTGTCACATCGGCCGGCGCTGACCTTAGCCGGCCGCCCACACGGCGCCGCCAGCCCAGCCCGCTGAGGGGCACAGTGCTGACTGCTGGGTCAGTCAGCCGGCGGCGCTGGTAACTGCTGCTGAGCCAGCCAAAAGCCAGCTTTGGTAATGCATCAGTCGATTTGGAATTAACTCAACGTGCGTAGCTCACGCAAGGATGGTAGAGCTCCGCGCCATCCTTCTCAGACGTGATAAGCAACGTTATCCCTCATATATCCCTCATGAACCGGGACCCCTCCCAATCAACGTAGCACACCCATATTCACCGGGTGAGCGGGCCCTCCCTTATCGGGTGAGCGGGTCCTCACTTATCGGGTGAGCGGACCCGCACTTATCGAAAGAGCGGACTGCAGTAGGCGAGCGAGTCCTCATGGGTTAAGTGAGCCCTCATTCACTGGGTGAGTGGACCCAAAATTGCGCGGTAAGGGAACCTTCACTCACTGAATAAGCTGAGCATGCCCTCACTCACCGGGCGGATGGTGTGACACCTGCTCGGCCACGAAGCAGACCTGGTGCCGGCCTCCCCAGGGCACTGGTCCATCGGTGACCGGCGGCCGGCCGGCCGTCGCCGGTTGGTCCGGAACGTCAAACACACACCTGAGGGCGGCAGCCAGGGTGGCGCAGTCAGCGAGGGTGGCGCAGTCAGATCACACGCGGATATCCGGGTCGGTCGGCTGACAGCGCACAGTGACATGAGGTCGGGGCGACGCTAGTGACGCGGCAGAGACATGTACGCCGCTCGTTGTCATTTTTTCAGCATCCTGCCGGTTTACCTAAATTTACCCATGCTGTACCAAATTTATCGGTTTACCCATGCTGGCGTTTCTTGACCTCAATTAGTGAACCGCAAGGCGCAAAGACAACGTGGGTTCAGCCTATGAGAGGCCGAAAAACGCCAGCAAGCTGGTAGCCTACTGATGAAAAACGGCGAACGAACAGCTCCACAGTCAAGGGGAAATATAAAGGCGAACGGAAGGGGGGACGGTTCACCGGGCCGGCCACAAAGATCACGAGACCAGTGATCTTTGTCATAGCTATAAGGGTGTGTGGTAGCACAATTGGTGACCTTAGCCAGTTTTCATTGACTTGTAATTATCTGTTACTCTAAAAATCTGGGCAATCTGAGAGTCCGATGACTTCTTTTCGCAAGAATGTCGAGCGATAAGGTTGAAAAGGATCGATAAATGTCCGGTGATCACTAAAGTTTTATGCGCCCTCGAAGTTCACCAGCCATCGGTGCCAATTCGAGCACTGCCCCACTGTTCGGTTGGGCCTGCTGCAATTTTGATAATGGCACAATCGGCCACAACACAAACTAGCAGTGAGCTATTTCCTAAACGCGTATTTAAAAGAATCTCCGATACGCTGTTGAGCAGATTTCCACGTCTGCTAAGTTGCAGGGACGGAGTTCGATTCGACCGGCCGACATCTCGGTAACGGTGACGACTCGTGGGACCGTCACCGTCACCGCGGCACAGGCCACCGAACCGCGTGACGAAACAGCCCGTCACGACCCGCGTGACGGAGCAGAACCGAGCCGCCGGCAGATCAGCGCCGACAAATGTCACGGCCGCCACAGTGACGGTGTCGTGACAGACAGACACGGCGTGACGGTTACAGAGACCGTGGCACCCGCGGACCCTGTGACGGTTCCTGCGAGGGGTCCACCACAGGCTCCGTATTTGTTAAAGACACGGAAAAGACCGAATACAACTCGAGACACCGCCCAATAAGAGTACACCGACATCAACAGACATTAGTTAGAGAATAGAATAGCTTGAGGCTTGCGCTACCTTTCGGTAGATACACACTTTTCTATACCCATCCGTCTTTCGACGCGCTTCAACTGACCTGAACGTCTCGCCGATGATGGGGTTGTAGGGCTTCTTGGCGACCTCGGACTTGCGTCCAGCGTGGAACGCCGACAGGTACCATTTGAGCACCTGCACCAGCCGGTCGCGCGGCGTAGGGCAGTCGGGTATGCTGCAGGCAGATAATACAGTCAGAGTGTGGAACACTGCACGGTGTTTAATAGTCTGGGATACTGCGGGGTAAACAGAATACTCGTACAATCAGATTGTATAACACTGCCACGCGGCGATGGACAGTCGGGGATGCTGCAGGGTGCACAGAGAATACAGTCGGAGGGTGTAACACTGCACGGTGTTCAATAGTCGGGACTCGGGGATACTGCAGCATAAACAGAGAAGGGAAAGCCAGAGGGTGTAGCACTGCACGGTGTTCAAAAGTCGGAGATACTGCGGGGTAGAAAGAATTACAGTCGGAGGGTGTAACACTGCTCGGTGAATTTGAGGACACTCAATGATATTATGTTTAATTCCTGCAACAAAAATAAGTCTTTAAATACATAAAACTACACAAATCTCGAGAAAAATATCGCTAAGAGCAATCATTAGTAGGCAAATAACGTTGAATTCACGTCGTGGTTCGCGCTTACGTAAGGTTAAACTCCATTTCTGCCTTTCAGCAGATTATTAACCTGACATTATAATTGTCGGGCGCGACCTCAGGAAGTTTCGCAGAGCCGCCAATGAAAACGGCGGCTCGAGCGCCGGCCCTATGTCCGGGTAGCCTTGACCTTTTCTGGGCCGGCCGCAACGGCGCCACCTGGCGACAGCCGTTGGCGGCCGCGCTGATGGATATACGTCGCAGCGCGCGGCGGCGGCGGTCCGTGGGCGGCGTGGGCGGCGCCGGCGCCACCCTATATAGCGGCCCCGGCGGCGACACGTTGCCAGAGCCAGTCGCCAGCGTCACTATGTTCTCGGCCCATCTCCTGCTGATCTGCGTGGCGTGCGCGGCGGCCGTGCCGGTGCCGTCGTACAAGGACCAGGCGCCGCCCACCGAGCCGCCGCCACCGCCGCCGCCGTCAGAGGAGCCGCCCGCTCCCCGGGCGCAGCCCCAGCTCGGCCTATCCAGCAAGTCCAGACAGCGCCAGACGGGCTACACGCGCGGCGGCGCCGCGGTCAGCTCCACCGGCGCCACACAGGGCGCCGGCAGCCTCGACCTGGCCATCGACGGACCGGGCGGCTTCAAGGCGCGCAGCAAGGCGCTCGTCAACTCGGGCGTCTCCGGCGCCGCCGTGGCCGCCGGCAATGGCGGCTTCAAGCAAAAGTCCGAGTCGGAGACGGTGGGCACCGTTGGACTGCAGGGCCTGGACATCAGCACATCGAGCCGCGGCGCAGGAAAATCATTCGGCACGGCCGGTGTCACCCAGAAGCAGGGCGCTAACGGCGGTGTCAGCGGCGCGGCGCGCGTCGGCGGAAAGTCTGGTCACGCCAAGGTGGCCGGCGCGCTGAAGGGCTCTGCCACCTCGTCCAGCGGACTGGACGCCACCAGCTCGGGAGACAGCAAGTTCAAGGGCGCCAACGCCGGCAAGACGTCTGTCAAATTCAACGTACCCAGCCCGGACGACGCGCTGCCCAGCGGCGTGGCGCCCAACATCGGTGTCGACTCCGACTCGCTGCTGAAGCAGCAGGGCGGCGCCGTCGGCGACGCCAGCATCTCGACCAACGGCGGCACGCAGGGCGGCGGCAGTCTGGTGGCCGGCCTCCGCGCGCCAGGACTCCAGATCGACGGCAGCGCCGCCGCCAAGTCGGGCGTGTCCGGCGCCGGCGCGCTGGTCGGAGACGGCGGATTCGCGCAGGAGAGCATTGCCGGCACTTCGTCCAGCGGCCGGTCGGACGGCCTAAGCGTCAAGTCCAGGTCGAACGGCCGTGGCAGCGCCGTCGGCAAGGTGGCCACCCGCCAGGGCGGCTCCACCAGCGGCGGCATCTCGGGCTCAATCGTCACCGGCCTCGGCACGCCAGACGGCAAGTTCAGTATCAAGGGCAAGCACAAGGGCGCCGCCAAGGGCTCCATCGGCCATTCGGCCTCCACCGATGGCACCGGCTCGTTCTCGGCCATCAACGCCGTTGGCACGGACGTCAAGTTCGACGTGCCCAGTCCCGACCTGGCGCTGCCCGGCCAGGGGGGCCTGCCGTCGGCGCCAGCCGACACGCCCGTCTTCAAGCTGACCAGCACGTCCGACATACTGCAGAAGGGCGGCAGTCAGGGTGGCGCGGCCGTCTCCGGCGCCGGCTCCACGCAGGGCTCCGGTCTGGGCACGGTCGACCTGGACACGCCGCACCTGCAGCTCGACGGAGAGGTGGTGGCCAACTCGGGCGTCTCCGGCACCGCCGGCTCCCAGGGACACGGCCTGTTCGGACAGGATGCCAACGCGCGCACCGACGCCATCGCTAACGCCGACGGCATCGAGACCAGGACCAGGACCGGCGGCCGGGGAGTGACCGAAGGACGGGCCGCCACCGCGCAGAAGACAGGCGCTAACGGCGCGATCAAGGCGCGTCGCGACATCGTCGCCCAGCTGCCGGGAGAGGCTCTCGGCGTGTCGCTGCCCAAGGGCAAGGGCAAGCAGGCTCCGGCCGTGCGCGTGGGCAGCAAGGCGCAGGGCACCTCTGCCTCCAGCAGCGGCCACGGAGCGTCCAGCAGCGGAGACGGCCGCTTCAAGACCGAGAATGACCGCGGCACCAAGGTCCAGCTGACTGATCCGCTCACCGGCTAGGCACCGTCGCGCCGCGCGACGGCACACCTTATGTAGTCTCATCCCCATGTGGGCGCTGCGCCATCGCCTCAATGGCGCCACGCCTACCGCTGAGTATATCAGGAGCGTTGTGTCCACTGTTCAGGAGGACTGTATTCGCGCGCGGCTCTCAAACGGAACCGCAGCAGTGCCTCTGACGGGTGGATAGTCCATCTCATGTGTGACACTCACTGGTCCGATTGTATATACACAAGTAAAATACAAACTGTCCACCAAAGCTCAACGTTTTCATCTACGTAACTGAGTCATAATCCAACTGAAATAAATGGTCAAGGAAAACTGAGAATAAACCATCTTACCAGAATCCAAACTACTTACAAAGATGGCTTTCAAATGGCAGCTTTCTGAGGTTTCCTTTCGTTTGTCTTGTAACAAATATACGGAAACATCATCCGCCGACCACCGTGATTGTGAACATTACTTGACTGTCAGTAGTCATGTTTCTTTCATTCGAAACAAAAACAAATGAAGCAAAGAGGATACGATGTTGTTTATTCACATCATTCCACATCTGACATCAGAACATCTTTGTGCCCGTGATATAAACTCGGGTTAATGTGCGTGGAATACCTTTTTTACCTTTTTGTGGAAAGTCAAAAACCAATTAATGCTTTAGGTTGCATGGACAATTTCTAGTTTTTACATAAATCAGACCCACTGACATGCTCAGATAGCGTAGTTAACACCAAGAGACGATGTTACACATTTTACGCGGAAAAGATGGGGCAAACGCTCGAAAAGATTTGACGAGAAATGCCAACAGTTTCCATCCATTAACCCACGCTTTACACAGCGCGACTTACTGGGGGAGAGATGGGTTAGCCATCCTGATGTGCGAGGCTAATCCAGAAACAGGTTATCTTGAGGAATGTGACGAAATAAGCCAGGTTTCAATTAACTGGATATCACTGACGACTGATGACGTCACAGGTCAGGTCGCATAAAAATGTTTCATGCAATGGTGATGCGCTTCGAACATTTTATTACATCTAGATGTGCCATTTTAGACAAGAAATGCGATGCCTTTTTGTTGTTCCACAATCCACATGCACTATGCACGAAGGTTGAATTAGACTTTACAGGGGTGTGCGCTAGAATCCGGAAAAAAAAACTAAGGAAAAGAACTGAAGTGTTTATTTGGTATCGCAAGGCTTCACTTCAAAATTTTTACTTTTATAGCGAAGACTGATCCTTCCTCTGCACTATCGTTCGACTTAACCCCCTCCAGCTCCAATCACAGTCTCCACAGGAAGCCGGAACCTGCCGCAGGCGTTGGTGACCTGCTCCCGGGTCAAGTTGGTCACGGCCTGGATAATGGCGGTCCTCAGGGAGTCGAAAGTGTTGTGAGTTCCTTTGTTGGACTCTCTCTCAAGTCTCAAGGACGCCCCACAGCTAGTGGTCGACCGGAGTCGGACACAGAAGATCTTCTCGCAGAGAAAGAAGCAGATCCGGCCGGCAGTTCTGTGCTTCAAAGAAGTGATGAGCAGCTCACATCTCTGAGTTTCCTGGTCTTTATGACTTCTGAGAGCATCTGCCTCACCTCGAGAACGTAGCTCATGATATCGGAGATCCTCGTGAATGGCACGAAGAACTGTTGCCCTGCGCAGATTGAGCCTCGAGGTCACCTTCTGCATGGGCAGGCTCGGACCTTCTCCAATAATGGCCTCGGGCTGCTCCAAGAAGTCCTTATTCCGCTTCCGAACCTCGAATCGGCCCTGTTCCTTCCTCTTGGGAGTCAGAGACTCACTCATCGTCTCTTCAGACTCTTTGAGCAGCTTCGCAAAGTCGTACACGGTCAATTTCGGGAACTGAAATAAGTCCAAAATTTCCTTGGGCGCGCGGCCGCAACGGAGGGCCACAAAAATTGCGGTGCGGCGCTCTAACTCAGAGGACATTTCTACTTATTTTGTTTCCGATCGAAGGCGACTCAAATCACAAACCTATGAGGAAAAGAAGAGTGATATATTTAAAAAAGTTTATATGATACACCAAGTTTAAGTTTTCCGGATTCTAGTGCACACCCCTGTACTTTATTGATCGCACCTCTGATCCAATAATGCAGCGGTCGACACATATCGCACACATATCGCGCTTGGGATAGATAACCAGATCGCAAACTTTACACCTCATTCGTCTACGAGCCAATAATAAGCCCATAAAAAATACTCAAATCGTAGAGTATTTATCAGTATTTACGCGTCAGTATTTATCCCAACACTTTTGGTATGTTCGATGCCCTATGGCTTCAAGAAAGCATTTCCTTCCTCAGATATATAAATAAACTGTCATGCGAGATCTGAACAAGGCACGGTATCATAAGGGAAAATCAGCCCCCGTTCACGAGCTCGAGAATCCCTTTACCGTGACGTCACCAAGGCGGTAGAATCTCCCTTCACCCATAGGCATGCATGCAAATTTCATCATCTTTCGAGCGAGCTGGAGAAAAAACAAGGATTATGTGTCATCAAAAGTTGTACCAATGTAACAATGAGTTCGCCTAATTACGATAAATAAAGCTGAAACTAAAAAAGAAAACAGGACTATATCGAGCCAGAATCAGCAATTCAAATGACCCCTTCATTTGAACGTGAAGGATTTCCTCTGATGACGTCACCACGGCACCTTTATTTCCCTAGTGAGCCAACCTGAGTAGTAAGGGAATCTTGGGGAAAATGTTCAGAAAGCAACGCATGTTGATGGAATATTGAAACATCAATGCTTGCTCTGTATATGCATGTAAATCTAACAGATGGTTTTATTTAACCGCAATGACATTGAATCAACGGGTGGCATGTAAAAAGAAACCTCAAGTGCACATTATCCATCACCAAACTGCTTCGGGATTCAGCGACCTTTAGAATGACATTGAGTTAAAGCCGGCAGCGACTAAAGGTTCCGCGGAGGAATTTCGAAATAGTGCGTGGGCAATATGAGCTGCGTGGAGCTACCGCACGCACTGACACATTTACGACACACTCTTTTTCGGCGAGCTATATCAGTTGGACACGACGTGTTCGATGTGATCTGACATTTAGACCGTGCACCGTACCATTTGCGCCGCCAGGGCGCTCCCTGGGATCGAATCGTGTCCCCCTCCCCTCCGTCAGTCAGCGAATCAGACCCATCCGGGTAGTGACAGCCGGGTCGGTGCAGACTGTCAGGAAGACTATGTAGGGGAGGGAAGTCAGTCTGCTCCGGCCAGGAACGGCTAGGGTCAGACCGGTAAAAGCAGCGGAAGTGAGTTCGCAATAGCGCAATGCACAACGCACGTAGCACTAATTTCACCTCAGGGGAGGGGATTCCATCAGAAGGTTGGTTACTCCGCGCAAATCAGCTGCACCTCGCGGGAGAGACATGGGCCTCTTAACTTTTTAAAGACCTCTTATTGATAACCAAGTTTGAAACAAAGAGACAGGTCCCTTCCATGAATGCCTGATGAATGCTTCTTTTTTACAGCGAAACCAATACTGAAAAGACAGTGCGCCATGCCTATCAATATCGATAACCTTCCAATTAATAACAAAGGATATTTACATATAAAACCGTGAGAACTGTTTGGCAGCATGACGAATTTCAGATGATAAAGTTCAGATAATTTAAATGTAGAGTAGAACCGGCGCGATTAGCATCCTCTGTCGCCAGTGGCGCCACTACCAGCGGCTGGGGAGGCAGGACACGCCAACGGTGCCACGTCCGGAGGTGGGTGGACAGCCGGTCCCACCAGTGTCGGCAGAGGGTCAGTACTCAGTCCGCTAATACCAGTGGAGAAAAACCCACCCGACATAATTACCAGCGACAGGACAGGCCTACAGGCCGACACACACACACCCACCTCGTACCATTACTACCTGCGGCGACAGCAGAGGTCGTGACACCCACCTGGCAAACAGGTCCGAGTGCGAGAAAAAGTCGGCGTACATCTCGAGCAGAGATCGCCGCTCCAGGATGAAGGTGGGCAGCACGACGCGCGTCAGGTCCATGCCGATGCGCAGCTGGCTGAGCAGGTGGCTGACCACCGAGCCGTGGCCCTCCATCGAGCCCAGGTCGCCCTCCTCCTCCTCGTAGGCGGCGTCATAGTCGGCGCCGCTGGGCGGGCCCGCCTCCGGCGCCGGGGTGGGCGGCGCTCCCGCAGCGGCGCCGTCGGCCGCCGGCGGACGGACGGGCCGCGCCGGGGATGCCGGCCGGTGGTGGCTGGAGGGAGGGGGCGGGGCGGGTCAGAGGTCAGCGCGGTGGTGACTGTGGGGAGGGTGGGGATCTGGTCAGAACGGTGGTGGCTGCCCGCTGCGGGGTGGGGTGGGTCAGATCAGGTATGGTGGCTGTTGGGTCTGGGAAGGGCGCGGGTCAGGTCAGAGCGGTGAGACTGAGGGTAGGTCAGAGGTCAGGTCGGTGGTGGCTGTGGTTGGTCTGGTGGTCAGAGCTCAGGGCGGGTATCTGACGGAACGGGTCGGGGATCAGGGCGTTGGTGATTGAGGCACGGACAAATAAATGATAATGCATTTTTATATGTTTATCAGGAAGCACCTGCTGAGCATTCACTCTAACTTTGTCGTGTACCACATATTCATCCACCCATCATTCAAGTCCTTTCCCTCCTTTGGCCTTCTAGATGTGTAATCCGAGCTTGTAAACCTCTCTAGACTGCGCCGCATATCATTACTACCCACTACCCAGTGAGCATACCAGGAGCGTCCTCTATACTCTATCAGCAGGCACAACACAGACCCTGCCGAGTGCTCTGACCTGCCACACGCCGCACACCCGCTGTGTCACTCCTCCCCCGGCTTCCCCACAACCTCTCTGACCTGTCCGTGGTGTCCTACCCGTGCCAGTCCTCCCCCTCACCCATCTGACCTGCCAGCGGCGTCCTCCGTGTCGAACCAATCCTCGTCTTCCGAGCTCGAGTAGGACGTCTCAGGAACCTCCTGGACGAATCGTGTGATCGAGGTCGGGGCCAGAGTGGTCGCTGCTGCCGGTCACACATGGTGGGGTGGTGTCACTGAGGGCGCATAGCAGACGGGGTAGTGTCAACGACGGTCACAGTGGGAGAGGGGTCGCCACACGTCGTAGTGGACGGGGATAGTGTCATTGAAGCATTACAACGAGTGGAGGCACTCACCAAAGGGTCACAGCCGGGGCGAGGGGGTCACTACAGTCATAGCGGGCGGAGAATAGTAAACATTTGACAGTCATTGACAGTCAGGACAGGTTAACACAAGCGGCACAAGTACTACCGGACCAAGTCGCGCTCAGAGATGGCCGTTGTCATGGCAACGAACCGTCGCAACTATCGCAGCAGGCCCGCCCACGGCGGACGATCGTTTACGGCCCGGAAAGGGAAGGAGGATAATCCACACGAACAATATTACCACACGACACGAACACGGCTCGGCACGGGCTGGGAAGACATCGGACAAACTAATATCGCACGATAGAAAGGAAAACTAGCAGTGCAAAACTAGCCAGTGTGCAAACAAGTGACTGAGCCTTGGCGATCGCCATGCATTGGTCGGGTAGCCGAGACTCGCATAAAAGATAACATTTCCTTGGTTTGACATACCAGAAGCGACAACGAGCACCGCCCGCAGTCGGAGCGTGTGTAAGTCTCATCCCACCATCACCCGGTCGGTCCTTACCTGTCGGACGGCCTGGTGGCTCCCGAGAGGAGGCGGCTGCCTCGCGCACCTCCGAGCCGATCTCCACTCCGGTGCCGACCTCGGTGTCTCGCAGCACTCCTGGCGCGTTCTCGTCGGCTGCGGGGTCACACAGCGGTCATAGGAGGTCACAGCGGTAACACGGGGTCACACAGCGGGCACAGGAGGTCACAGGAGGGTCACTTACGGGTTACATGGCGTCACAGACTGGTCACAGTGAGATCATAGACCGGCCTGGGGCGTCGCAGACAGGCCCAGGGCGACAGGTCACAGACAGGTCCAGGGTATTACGGACTGGCTCCGGGCACACACATGTTACGGGCATCACAGACCACACAAACCTGCCCAAGGCGTCCCAGATCGGCCGCGGGCGGTACAAGGAAATACAGAGCACTTTCCCGTCACGAAAGACGAGCCGCACGCACCGGTCGCTGGACATTGGATGGATGGAGGCAGCACGACATTGACCACCAAGAGGTACATAAAATAAACTGCACCGACCACGGCCAATGTACGGATAAGTCACAACTCACAATGAGAGCTGATGGAGACATAAATCCAACTCGGGCTAACTTTAATAATAGTTATCCGGTAGGAGAACAGCACGTAAGTCACACAGATTACGCATCTCCGGCACGGAAAACACACTCAGCTGCTGGGTCAGCTGGCACTACGGTGCCCCTCCCTCCCTGTCCTCCCCACCTGGGTGCGCCGGCTGACTGGCCAGCCTCAGCACGGACATGGCTCTGGCGCCTCACTCCCTTTGGGTCGACGAAAGATAGACTACCACACCAGGAAAACAGGGCACTACCACCGGATATTGCGCCCGGCTAACGCCGAGGACCACACAAACTCGTCCGGCAAACAAAACAAAAGGCACCCGAGCTCAGCGTGCGCCACTCGATCGACAAACGGGACCAGCACACGCAGTCCTGAGTGGTCACAGCCTCCGCCGCCGGAAGAATACGCATCCTGTGCCAGTGTGATACTCCCACACATCTTCGTCCGCCCGTTGGAACCTACGCACATATCCTATCTCGCAAAAGTACCTTCGTTGAGCTCACGTTGTACGCCAAGTGCCTTCATCAGAATATGACCACAACCCTGGACGAACTTGATCAGCGTGATTAATGACGGTGGTAATTTGGGCAATAGAAAGGCAGTATGGTGGAGGGTATAAATTGCTGCGCTTGTGCGGAACTATATCCGTACGTAAAATTGAATTATTTCATAAGCGACATAAACTGCTGTTAACAATTTAACACACTCCTTTATAAATATTTCTCAACGATGACCCAGTTATGACCAGATAACTAAAAGGAAAAGCGACACGTCTAAAACACGATGACGCCATCACACGCTATCTTCAATCTTCATCCCAGACCACAGACCCCTTAACGAGGAAGCGCTTGTTCCACCTCTCCCCCCCCCGCAGCGACCGCTCCGTGCTGCGCCCCCGGTGCACTGACCTTCTTTGATGGCGCGGCGAACGGCGGCATCGGACCGGGCGGCGGACGGCGGCAGCGGCGTGGCGTTGCTCGGCTGGTACACGCCGACCACCGGCTGCACCTCGTTCTGAGCACACACGGGCACCCAGCGCGGTCACACACAGCCAGCGGCGCGCGCCTGCGCACCGCGCCCGATCGATGCTCTGACCGCCGGCTCGCACACAGACACACAAACATACAGAGCACGCAGGTCGATAGAGGACCTCTGATCTCCGGAGACGGTCAGGGCCATCCGTCAGGGTCATCCGTTCGGCGGCTGGAGCCCGATAAAGGATCCCTTACGGCCGTCACGGAAATATGGGGAGCTCCTCGGTCAGGGCTGGATAAAGGACTTTTGCTCATCCGTGAAGGTCGTGCGCAGGACGGCCGGGGTCATATAATGACATCCATTAGGCGGTCGAGGTCATAATAGTGAGCGCTGTGGCTTACGACTAATTGGCTCAAATGAAAGACCTCTCCCTCCCCTATGACGGCCCGGATCAAATAAATGTGCGATGGTCATAGCTAATACGTTTCAAAGATCGGTAGTAAAAAGAGGGCAACAATCGACGGTCGGAGTTAGATAGCGAGTCTTGTCCGCGGTCATGGTCAGGTAGAACACAAACGAAGTTATTTCGACTGACCCCGAATGCCAGCGACCCGCTCACCTTGGCTATTTGAAGGCGTACGATCGTATGTTTGATGGCATCCAGCATGTCCTGGAACAGAGTCAGACTCGGTCACGGATAGGGCACCGACAGCCGGTACTGATAACTACCGGTCAACGCTCCTACACACCAGCCCAACAGCTTCTCAGAGCTAGGGGCTGCTCGAAAGGCTCGTATAATTGAATGACTTTGACGTTATACACAGTAGGGTGTGTCATCAGTAACAGAACCAAATGCCGTAAAGAAATTCCTTGGCACTGAGACCTGCAAACACACGGCATAGCAACCGTTTTTGCAAAAAATTAAAATTCGTGCGGCGCCAGCCGTTCAAAGTTTTGGCGCCCGGCGTTGCAGTCTCCAATGCTGAGCGTCACCCAGCACTGCGAGTAACACCAAGTATGGCAGCAGGTAATAATGCAAAATAACTACCGCTGAAAATGATGCTTTTGAGCGCTTCTAAGGCTGATTGTTGCAAAAAGCATGTCATTAGAGTGTCCAATTACTGTTTTTATTGTGCTCAATGAATTAACCCTCGCATGTGTAGGGGGGGGGGGTCGGATGGACCCCCCCATGGTTTTTTGCGAATAACTCGCGTAAAAAGCGGCCGATCGCGACGAAACTTTCAGTACCCTCGCATTGATCAATTTTACACCTACCCTGAAATTTTCATGACCCTGACCCAAATGACCTTTGACCTGTGACCTCTTTTCCGAGACCATGTTTGGCCGGAATCGCGATTTCGCGTATGTCGGCTCGCACTAGCCGCGTGTTTGCATGCTTTTCGTGGTTTCAAACGTTCAAACATGTGATTTGATGTTACTCCCGTGTGTGTCAAGGTCACCTGAAGGTCAGGTCAGGTCATTGACCTTTGGTGACCTCGGGTGACCTCGGGTTACTTTTTCGAGTTTTACATGTTTCTAGGCTAGTTTTTGGAGCTGAATTCGAATTTAGCAACCATTTGAACATTTACGAAGTAGTTTTGGTGACTTTGTAACATGTTACGAAGCTGTCAGAGGCGGTTGACACGTACTACGAATACCCGTCACGACGCCTACTGGTTGACCTGACCTGACCTGACCCGACCTGGTCTAAATGCTTCAAGACATCATCTGCGATCAAAACTAACACGATATTCGTGATCAGCACCCCGAAAAACCTCTTAGCAGCCACACTTTACGACTTTCTAACAGGTCCCGATTTTCCCGACTTTGGGTCATTGACCTGACCTGGAAGGTCAACCAATGACCTAGGACCTTAAAATTGGGTATCATCGGCTTCCTCTCGTCACGGGCAACACGCTCGTTTTTTCCGCGAAGCTCTAGCTCGATCAGGGGCCAAACGGCAAGGGGGGGTCCAACCGACCCCCCCCCCCCTACACATTAGAAGCTGGCAAACGCCGCACACATGCGAGGGTTAAATCGAGCATTGCTACTGAAACTAAAGAAAAAAACTGCCCGATTTTGAGAAGCGGGCGGGGTGGAACTGGAGGCGGAGACGGGAAGTGACTCAGATTCGTCTTCTGAAAACACCGACTCCGTGGCATCCTCTGGGCGGTGCTTCTTCTTCTTCTTCTTCTTCTTCTTCTTCTTCTTCTTCAGCATGTCATCTCGTGTGACCTGGCCCGTCTCCACCAGGAAGTCCCGGATGAGTCCAGCCTCGGTGGAAAGGATCTCCCTCAGCGTCGGCAAAGGGCCCCACGGGCGGGTCCGTGGCCCCTGGTAGGCGGGGTAGTCGACCAACAGGTGTTTGGCCGAGTCCGGTTCGTCGCAACGGACTTTCTCGTCAGACTCGGCCGGACCGAGTCGGAATCGGGTGTCTCCGGTGAGTGGGGAGCAGCTCACGCGGAGCTGTGCCACTGTGATCGACGCTCGGCGGTCCAGTTCTCTCTCCGTGGCCCAGAGCGCCACATCGTCCGCATTCGCAGATGTGTACCTCCAGTTCCCGAGCCGCAGTTATAGCCGGTCATACGAGCCTGCAGGGTTAGCATCCGATGGCTGCGCTGGTCCTTCAGGAAGACAGCCTCCTGCTGAGTGACTCAGTGGGCGATGAGACTTGTGCACCTGCTCTGAGAGTTGCATTTGCATTTGGCGATATCCAGGAGTTGTTGAATTATGCAGTGGCGGCGCTTTGTTCTTTCCTGTGTCTCTGGTGTTTTGTTCAGAAGTATGTAGGGCTGTCTGTAGGGCTTATAGCAGTCCCTTTTGATCACTTTCGTCGTGTGTTTTACATAGATCGCGAACAGGGATTCCTTCATTAGTTCAGAGTTGCCTTGTCCTTTTTTTCGCCACGGCCCTAAATGCACTATTTGTTGGATTTCTTCTTTGAGCATTCAGCCACCTGACATAACTGAAGGCCTCTGCTTTAGTCAGCAGTCGCTGTTGGGACAAAAGTGCCGGCTGTCCTATCACGAAATGTTTTGTACGCGGCCGTGTCACTTTCGGCAGGGCCCTATGCTATCCGGATCATAACTCACGAGGCGAAAAAAACGTAGCTGATTAGGAAATGCCCATACGACAATTATAGCACGACACAGGGAACCAGCAAAGCGCCGCCACTGCATAATTCAACAACTGGATATAGCCAAATGCAAATGCAACTCTCAGAGCAGGTGCACAAGTCTCATCGCCCACTGAGTCACTCAGCAGGAGGCTGTCTTCCTGAAGGACCAGCGCAGCCATCGGATGCTAACCCTGCAGGCTCGTATGACCGGCTATAACTGCGGCTCGGGAACTGGAGGTACACATCTGCGAATGCGGACGATGTGGCGCTCTGGGCCACGGAGAGAGAACTGGACCGCCGAGCGTCGATCACAGTGGCACAGCTCCGCGTGAGCTGCTCCCCACTCACCGGAGACACCCGATTCCGACTCGGTCCGGCCGAGTCTGACGAGAAAGTCCGTTGCGACGAACCGGACTCGGCCAAACACCTGTTGGTCGACTACCCCGCCTACCAGGGGCCACGGACCCGCCCGTGGGGCCCTTTGCCGACGCTGAGGGAGATCCTTTCCACCGAGGCTGGACTCATCCGGGACTTCCTGGTGGAGAAGGGCCAGGTCACACGAGATGACATGCTGAAGAAGAAGAAGAAGAAGAAGAAGCACCGCCCAGAGGATGCCACGGAGTCGGTGTTTTCAGAAGACGAATCTGAGGCACTTGCCGTCTCCGCCTCCACCCCGCCCGCTTCTCAAAATCGGGCAGCTTCTTCTTTAGTTTCAGAAGCCATGCTCGATTTAATTCATTGAGCACAATAAAAACAGTAATTGGACACTCTAAGGACATGCTTTTTTGCAACAATCAGCCTTAGAAGCGCTCAAAAGCATCATTTTCAGCGGTAGTTATTTTGCATTATTACCTCCTACAATACTTGGTGTTACTCGCAGTGCTGGGTGACGCTCAGCATTGGAGACTGCAACGCCGGGCGCCAAAATTTTGAACGGCTGGCGCCGCACGAATTTTAATTTTGGTGGACTCGGATATGGATGAAAATTCATTATTGATCAATGTGCCAAGGAAAAACCTTACGGCGTTTGATTCTGCGAGAATCACCCCCTCGATGACACACCCTAATACACAGCTGTTATCCACCAAAGGGTCGTACGTTTTGAGTCAATCTACTTTGACACATCCTGTATCAGGCCTAGATGCTCCGCTGGTACCTACAAATTTCCATTAAGACTGCCGTACGCCTAAGCTGAGACCACAGACAGCGTTCTGACACTCACATTAACATTGTCGATGATAGTGGTCAGCCGGTTGCGCTCCTGGCTGGAGGTGCAGGCTGCCTGTCGGCGCTCGAGCGCCTGAGCCTGCTGAATCAGCAGCTGGAGGTAGGCGTCACTCTCTACCAGCTGACGGTCGAAGTCGGCCATCGTCGGCTGCGGCAGCCGCGGGTCCCAGCGCTGTCGGAGGGACATAGACGAGTTAGACGGGAAACCGGGGGTCCCAGCGCCTAGCAGGGTATATAGGAGTTGGACGGGAACTGCGGGGCCCAGCGCGGCCGGCAGGGTACATAAATGGGAGTTAAATAGGGAAAACAGTGCAGCCGGCAAAGCACAAAGATGGGAGCTGAACAGCTATATCACAACGTTCGTCGATTTGGGGCCGACCATGACCTCATGCATGATGAACTAGCCCAGTGACCAGGCAGTGCAAACAAAATTCCAGGCCATGTTAAAGAAAAAAAATGAACACAGTGCCATGGCAAATTTAGACCCTATCTCTTTCCGCGTCTTCAGGATTCGTATAAAAAACTTGGGACAAATTGTATTGCCCGATCCCCACCCTAGTGCAGGCAAGAATGAAGAAACTTAATCGTAGATATCTAAATTTGGAACTCTGAGCACCTCTTCCAGACGCCGGGGCACACACACACACCTTGATGCGGTGGTTGTTGTGCGTCAGCAGGGAGATGGCGTTCTCGAGCGCGCGGATCCAGCCGTCCCGCTCGTCGCCGTCTCGGGCCTGCAGGTGGAACGTCTTGCCGTCGACGGTGATGGTGAAGAGCGTGTCGTCCTCGTCGTCGATGCCGATGACGGCGCCCTTGAGCCGGACGCAGCCGCGGCGCGCGTTGCGCATCATCTTCTCCTTGGACTGCGGAGGGCAGCGAGGAAAAGGTGTTGAGTTACAAGCTCAATATATACGATACGCTCACAAAAAAGACACTGGAGAATGTCTTTATGATACAGTTATAAGTGCCAAAATGACCTCGTAATCGGCGCGCCCCTAACCCTTCCCCCCCCCCTCCAGTTATAAGTGCAGGCAAGATACAAGAGTTAGGAGTGATAACCTGTATGCCCACATTTTTGGGTTATTTGAATAGCATTTGTCAAAATGAATATACACTTAACATCATAAAGACAATGAATTTGCATTTTCAACTAACAATATTGAATATACGTAATAAGGAAATCAGCAGCAACATACCCAGATGTAATAATGCCTTACCGTATAGTAGGAAAAAAGCCCCGCTTGTTCATCAAGAACAAACCAGCGGATTTGCCAGCCCTTCATCACATTGGTCCACTTGCTTAGTGCTCCCTCCATGTCTCCCTATTTAATGCTTAAAAATTCTTCAAAATACAAATCCAAAATTCATCCTGCAAACCAAACTATTACATCAGATGCATCATGTAACACAAGAAGGTTGCGGTTGGTGGCAGGCCGTAGCCAGGCAAAGTCAGTGAGGGAACCGGCTGTGCGCGGCTATCACCTGGTGAATAATCTCGCCTGCAGGCTGCACGGCTGGTGTGAGCACACCCCTATGGGCCCTAAGTATGTGCCTCACCTGCACATACTTAGGGCCCATGTGCTACAGACTCCAAATTCTGCCATAGAACAGGAATTGTGTGATCAGAGGGTAGAGGGCAGGGTCAGGAGAGGTGCTGTAGCTTAGGTTTTAGGTTGTAGGTTGCAGCTAAGGTTTGGTTAAGTTTGGTTTGGTTAGAAAGCATCTCTGGGTATAGCGCCTCTCCTTGGTGGCAAAAAACAATGATGCCTGCTTTAACTTTTAAGAGTACCGTCAATCCTTCCCTTCAATAGGTTTGGGCTAAATTCATAAAAAAGAAGTATGTGGCATCCTTTGCAACCAGTAGCGACGGAACACCTTCAATTAAGGGGAGGGGGGCACTGCCGACTTTTGGTCCCATTCTTTCCATGCAATGCCCATAGGGCTAATGAATGTTAAAATGCCAAAATCAAAGGGGGCACGGTGCCCCGGTGCCCTCCCCATTCTGCCGCCTATGTTTACAACAAACGTTTCTTGACGGTAGGCGCATGGGCAAAATAAACATCTCCATATTCGTCATGCTTTTTGTCGATCTAAATTGCCTCTCATTGTGATCGCCAACTCAACCTGTGATGGGTCCAGGGTCTGTCAGGGGACAATGGTTTAATTGATATTGGTATTGTATGACCAATATATACCTATTGATATTGGTATATTGATATTGATTTGTAATTTGTTTGGCACTTCGCCAGATTTTTGTCTGAATGGATGAGTTTCAGTTTTGGGTGGCTGTACGCATCAGCATGGGCACTGTCAGCCTAAGACACCGTTTTTTTAACACCGTTGATCCCGGAAAATTATTCGATTTTCCGGATGCCAAATTTGAATTCGCACTTAATTATAAACTGACCAACGGGGTGCCAAGCTCCTAATGTATTGTTTATGTTGCCCCAAAGCTAGCTGAAAATGACTCAATTTCAGCGCACTTCTTTCAATTATTTCGCTCACCTGTTTGATTCGGAGTGGGCAGTTGCAGCAGTTGCATACGTAGCAGAAAACAGCCAATCAGCGTTTCATGACATCGTAAAAGAACAACTCCACAAGAGTTGAACCAAAGACTAGATATTTATTGTCATTTTTATAAGTTTTCTATTTTATTTTTCTATTTAATTAATGGAAAGGAAAAATTATTTCCAGCTTTTCTGCTGAGTGTGCAGTAACTCATACTGCCAATGTAAAAGTGCCATTTCTATTTTAGGGAAAAGTTGCTACCATATCAAACATAGGTGCTGCCAAATCAAGCTAACGTTTTTGAGCGCGGTGCTGCGAGAGTTTTGAGTTGTTGAGTTGTTTCGGGTTGGACGCTTGAGCCGGTTATATCGGTTATATGGCCTTGCTTGAGCCTGACAGCTACGCGCCCTAATCCACGAAGAAGAAGGAGAGTTGTTTCGGCCACAGTGGGTTTCGGCCAAGCTGCTGCGCGCCCTTTACTCTTCAACAACAACAACAGAGTTGTTCCGGTGTGTTCGATTGGTTTCTATATATATGTTTTAGGGCCTTGGTTCTAATCGTGCTAATGAACTGATATGGCCTTGACTAGGATATATAAATGCTGTGTTAGGCAATACCGGCAATACCTAAGTTTTTTTTGTTAGTGGAAAGATTGTCACTTTTTGATTTGTTCAATATTCTGTGGGTCGTCACTCGACACTTGTCAGATTGAGATTGACATATGTTTATGCATGTATAGCAAATTGATACTCAGGATTTGATTCTGTTGCGCGTGCAACAGAATCCTGCAGGCGTCTGCCTGCAGGTATAGACACTTGCTGGAGCCGCCCATGGCCCAGTCACTAACTGTTTGAATCCAAGATCCCTAATCCACGGCCTTGGGCGGGTCCAGAAAGGCTATCTTGATTTCAGAGATCTGATGCTGGGGGGCGTACCCCTGAAAAGTCCAATGCCTGCAACTCATTGTATTTTAATTCTTATGCTTTGCTGGCTGGGTAGATAGTAGGTACCTATATATATATATATATATATATATATATATATATATATATATATATATATATATATATATATATCAGTTGGTGACATACCAGGGAAATAAGCTAAAATTAGAGCGCTCTATTTATTGCTCCTGCCCCATGTTGAAGAGATACCCCTAAAAGCGTGATCTTTTATCGGCCCTTACGCAGCAAGGCAGTAATTCTCAGACCGGTGGATGGTATCAATAGAAAGAGAATGCGTCAAAGATTAACATGAATTAATTAACATAACATTAAAATGTTAATTAAGCGTGGAAATTAGTCCCAAACATAAGCTAATTATTGCTCCTACCTCGGCGACGGCGCTCCCCGCAGTCGGCGGAGAAGCTAAAATAAAAGCCACCATCCTCCTCCGTAAGTCAATTTTAGAGCGGCCGAGTGGGCCGATGCGGGGCCACCAAACTGAGGTGAGACGTGGCTAGTAATTGCAAACCGCCATAGAAATCAATATCTTAAGACGTACAATATGGGATGATTACTCTGAAGCTGGAGTGAAAGCATGAGTAGATTGCAAGAAACGAAATGCATAGATTGGTTGAATTATGTACAATAGGCACAGCTCAGATAAAGCCATTTCTATGATGTTGACATATGACATAACCCTTCCTCTCCTCACCTATGACCTAACTCCTAAGTGCATTGGCACAAGGCCCTATATACCCATTGGCAGTTACCGGCATAGTTTTTGAGCACGAGTGTAATTCGCCATCGGACCGCAATACATGTTGCCAGGGTGCTGCAATTACAACGAACATACGAATACTGCCTTCATTTGTAGGCGTTTGTTTTTTAGGCGGTCTTTGACGTGCAAGGGGGGCGGGGGCATACCTGTCGACAACTTGAGTTTCTCCGAATTTCAAAAACTCCCAGAATTTCAATTCCTTATGCACTGTTGTAGGTACAGCTATGTTCACAAGTTTCCGTTTCCTCCTGTTCTAAAAAGGATGATATTTGTCGATTTCGTGCGTCGCTGATAGGAGGGTGCGTTTAATAATTAGGCCCAACGCTTTCTGCATCCGCGAGTACCTTCAAAAGGGAACAACAGTTTCCATTTATTACACTATGGGACATGTGACAAAATGACCACTGGAACACGCATGAAACGGAGCTCATATTCCTAAAAATGTCTACAATCACTTCTTTTCTGACACTATTAGCAAATACCATCTCAAGTTAGGTGGTTGACAGACAGTCAATGCAGATCTGGGGAGACTGAGTGATGCCAATTCACCACTTAACTGATAATGAGGGCCGAGGGAAGAGAAACATGCAACATGCACAACTGACAACTTGACAAGTGACAAAACACTACCACTATTGCGCAGTGCACAACAAATTACAGCAGCCAGCCCAAAAATGCTTTTGGTGGCTAATTGCAAAACAAGTCACTAATAAATGTCTTAGTTGCAGCTGAACACTGCACAATAATCACACTGTTCACACACTGAGTGAGATGCCACAGGTGGTTTGAATCACACTTTGGTTCAACTGCAAATCTGAAGTGTTGTCATGAGGTTCATGCCTCCATGATCACAGCACTTTGGTTGTGGTTGGCATAACACTTGTAGTCTGCAGAGTTCCACATGAACTGCAGACACCTCATCTGGTGGTCTTCATGTTGCTCAACTTCTTCAGGAGGCAAATGTCGACCACCCAGCGGAAGCATGGTCCTGCAGAAAAGAAAGGTAATGCATAAGGTACAAACATTATCTGCTGAAACAGCTCCTTCTGTTGGCTGTTATTAAACTTTTAACATAGGTAACATAACAACATGTATTCCATGTATATTACATTTGTTGAAGTAAAATACTGCCGGCTATTTCAAAACCAGAAAATGAAATTATATTGAGGCATAATTCACCTGCTCAGCGATCAGTATCAAATAATAATTAATTTAATATTAGGCATATTCTATATAACACATTCATAGAATATTATACTTCACGTTACAAGGACTCACAATCTTTCTGTTGGGTGTTTGATTGACGCATTAACTAAGTTTGTCTTAGGTTTTATTATTGCAAAAAATTCATATTGCATTTTTGTATGAAAATACTGCCAGCAATAACAAAACAAGAACATGAAATGCCAATGAGCAAGCCGCCATTCCTTAAAATGGATTACTTTGAAAGGAATTTTAGTTTCTTTTAAGGAAAAGGAGAAATGATTATCAGGTAATTATCAGAAAACCACTCAACCAGCAAGTGGCTGGGTGGTTTCACAGCAAACATCAAGCCAAAACATATACTTACATCTATCTAACAATTGAGCCATTTGACTACTACAAGGATATGTGAGCAAAATAAGAATCCAATTATCCAATGTTGACTTCCTTGCAAAGTTTATGCCTTATTTTATGAAAATGTGTCACTAGAATATGATACTTATCATCGAATATTATTTAATTTACGATTTATTTCGATCGGAATGCACATGGAGTCCCGCGCCATTTTCGTCGGCGATGAATATGATCGTGTTTCATGAAGAGATAAGGGGTTTCAATGGTCTTTCAAAGCAATAATTTGATGCAAAAATTTGTAGGAAATAATATGAAGCTGGTTCAAATGGCCATCAACCATTTAAAACACCGAAAATACTCACGACTCCGTCCCGACGACCACGCAGCACCGCGAACGCCACACTACTGGCACAATGCCAAAACTGCTGTCACAGTGGAAATGTTTTTTTTTTCTCGATTGCAATTGTGGAATTATTTATTAAACAGAAGATGCTCTTTCCGAAAAACCGACTGATTTCATACACAGATGCATGGAAAATAAAAAAATCCCGGTAAGTTTATTTGTATTGTTTTGTCGATTTTGACATGCTCCTAGTTTGCAGCCATATTTCGATATGTTCTACAGGGAGTTCAGAATTATTTCAGGACCAATCTTTTCCTCATTCATTTTCCCGTCGATCATGAAATTTTTAGAGCGGAACAATTGGTTTCCAGGCGGTCCGAGCGATTTTCGTGAGAAGGGTGCAAAAATCGGCGTCATTTTTAGAGCCTCGACACCAGCTCAACACAGGACCCTATGGGAGACGGTGAAGTAGCGGGAGCAATAAATAGAGCACTCTAATTTTAGCTTATTTCCCTGGTGTGTCACCGACTGATATATATATATATATATATATATATATATATATATATATATATATATATATATATATATATATATATATATATAATAATATATATATATTATATATATATATGTATTATTATATATATTTATATTATATATTTATATATATTTATATTATTATATATTATTATATTATATATATAATAATATATATATATTATATTTATATATATATTATATATATATAATAATATATATATATATATATATAATATATATATATATATTTATATATATATATATATATATATAAATATATATATATATATATATATATATATATATATATATATATATATATATATATATATATATATATATATTTACAATAAGTCTGATTAACCTTTTAAGCATAAATTTTGCATATTTTTGCATGTTTTGACCTTCTATATCCAAATATGTTACATAAGTGTGAAGATAAGAACAAAACATAATCTAACCTGACCCAACCCTACCTACTTACAAGGACCAGGGGACACCACTTGAAGCTTGAGAAGAGGGTAGGTAGCCCACCACTTAAAGCCAAGTTTTCCAGGCATAGGCATAGATATTTGATTCTTTAATATCATTACAAAGTTGTGCATTTCAGAATCAGATTCAAGTCCAGAGGGAGAGTTAAAAAATATACAATGAAGGAGCTGCAAGTCCAAAATGAGAATGCTTTGCCAGCTAGTAGTAAGGAAGGGAAGATGACTAAGAGTTCTAGGAGAACTCCTTTGTCTAACAAAACCAACAAACTGGTAAGTGGTTATATTAGAAATAATCACTTATTTTATTTTGTACCTATAGTCAGTCGAGTCTTAAGATGAGAATTATGGGTAGCTGAAAACTGTTAAGTGTACATATACTTGCTTATTTTACTGAGCTACTGTTATTTTTTAAATTTGCCAAATGAACTCAGCATTGTCTAGTGTATGGACAAATGTGATGAATTTGTTTACCTACTTAATAATGCTGGTCATGTGTTCAGCACAGAGAATATGTTTTTTTGTGTTTTATTGCTGATGTTGACATGTAAAATCCTCATTACATTTCAGGCACAAAATGATGCCAGTAGCACACTTTTGCTGAAACCCAGAAAACACCATGGGTAAGTACAAGTAGCAAACAATCATGTTCCTAACCAGTTTGTTCTCTAGATGTGTCGGGTCATTGTATTTTAGGTAATGCTGATCAAGTTTTTGCTGGTAAGCGTGAAGATGAAGTACAGTGAAGATAAAAAGCATATCTAACCTGACCTGACCCTACCAACTAACTTTCAACCTTGGACCTACCAACCTACAACCTACAGATCTAATTCTACAAGCTACTAACCCAAAATCTACAACCTACAACCTACTAACCCTCCATTCAGAGTCAGATTTCATCTACATATATACCAGTTTTGTCCTCTAAAATGCATATGTGTATTGGCATTTGTTTGTGAACTGTAAGATGTGTTTGTGTTTGTTTGGCATGCTATCTAATATATGTAACATTTGGCATAAACATAAGCATTGAATGTTATCTGTCTGAGCCTTTAACAATGCTTAGTTGTATAAATTTTGGAAGGAGCATTGGTGGCACCTCATGATTTCATCATTGTTGACAGTCCAGGGGAGAAGGGCACTCCCCAGGACTATGGGTCAGCCTATGTAGTATTTCATTTCGTTACAAATAATGCAATGACTGAGCAATAGAACTCACAGATCCTTTGTCATGTTGCAAGTGAAAGATACCCCATTTTACCTGTCAAATGTCAAACCTGTCAAACCCTCTCAGTCTCAGGTCAGGTCAACAATAAATGTTGCTTTCATCTACTGTGATAGGGATAGTTGGGTGCTAGCTGCTATTTTCAGTTCTTTTTAGTCGATAGATTGAGGAATTCAGAGCCCACCATATACATACACAGCTTGTTCAATGTGTCTTAATCTGTTTACTGATCGTCAAATTCCGAGCTCGCGGGAACTTTGAAGTCAAAGTTTACCATGGCCACATAGCTGAGCATGATCTGTTTTGCCCACCGACCTCAACTGACCATGGATGATCCCACCAGCGACACACCATCTCAGTCATGTGAAATTATTGTTACACCTTTACTTTGATCACACCTGTCGAACACCGGAGCGCAACACGAATCTGCTTTTGCTCTCGGGAGTCTGATACTCCACGGTGTGTCTCGAAATTGATTTCTTCTACCACCGCTTTGTAGTTAAACATGTGATGATCGGTCCCTCGTGTGTCTGCAACTCATTTTCCTCCTATCCTGACACACTTCATGATTAATATGTTAAAGCATCCCGCACACCAGATTGTCCAGCATCTGAGATCTTGACACTGATAAAACTCCAAGTCTTCTGCAGTCCGCTTACGAGTGGATTTTTGAAGGCATTCAGCTGCATTTTGTCCAGGTCGCACTATAGTACATACCCTGGGCCAGTTAGGTATTGATGATCAGTGACAAGTCAGAATTCCGGCCGCAGACCTTTCTTTCAGAACCCTGGGAGACTGTCCTACCACCATTTCCTAGCTAGAGCGCCATGCATTCTCTGATAACTGATGTACGTTGCTGTCACCAGGCTCCGGGTGTTTGAGGAGACGGCCGCTGAGGAGCGCGCCGCTCCTGCCGCCCGGCCGGTCACCCGCTGCACCGTGAGCACTCAGACCGATCCCGATGAGCCGCCGCGAGGCCAGGAGTCGGCCGTCGACCGGCTGGTGGCCGATATGTGCGCCGGTGAGAAGCCCACCTGGACTGGGTCACTGTGTCATGGCTGCGTGGCCACTGTGCTCGCTCCGGCCTGATAGTAGCTACCGTAGCTACGACGTTGAGGGCTTAACGTTGGTTGGGAGTTATTTTCACATCTGTTTGGCTCTTTTTGTCGCTGGTTGTAACAGCGCAGCGTTTATATCGATATGAACGACTTGGGGATGAATTAGTTGAAGTTGATACTATTCTGGTCTCTTTATGACCTAGACCATTATTATGCTAATAGAGATATTCTGTGCAAAATCAGACGCAACCTACCGTTCGCTTTTCTAATAAGCTGATAGTACCTACGCTTAACCCGCGCCCCGTAGGGCTACCGGCGGACCCTACCACCCGTAGGGGGGGGCCGTTTCGGCCCCCCCCCCCTAAGATCTCGGAAAGTTACCGGCCGATTTTCAAAATTCAAACGGCGTTCGATAGCCCCACCCGGGAACTACCTTGTGACCAAATTTCATTGACCTAGGTCAAACCGATGACGTCACAGGTCAGGTCAAAGGTCAGATTTTCACCGTTCACAGGCAATTCAAGAAATGTGCTGTGAAAGCGAGTAAATTGGTAATTTATTGAAAACCATCGATGGTACATTGTTCGTCAAACACATACCTTGCTATCTGAGGTCACTGATACCAGGTCAGGTCACAGCGAGGTCAGGTCACCGGGGGTCACAATATGAATGTGTCGTGTGATACATGTTTTATGGTCCATTTTACATGACAAATGCGATTATGTGGGTTAGGCAGCCTTTGGGGCCAGCCTAGGTCACGTTTTTGTGAAGGTCAGGTCAAGGTCAGGTCAAATTAGGTCAAATTTCAAAGTTGATATTTTTGCATAAAATGGGTATCGATTCGATGCAGCTCGTCACGGGGAGTCTAATGGTGGTCTTCGTTTTGCTCTACGAGTTCTAGAATTGCCAAAAATTGAGTTTGAAAATTTGACGTCATCATTTTTGAACAGTTTTTTCGCTATAACTTGGCCAAAAAACGTGGTATCGATCTGAAATTTGGTATGTAGATAGAAGACGGTAGGCACTATCACATATATTCCAGTTTTTTCGAAACTCAAAAAACTTTTTGGATTTTTTGGCGAATATATCCAAAAAAATGCTTTTTTGGTTTTTGGGGGTCAAAACTAAAAAAATTCAAAAATTCGAGATAGCAGTTTTGTAGCCCTGTCAATTCTACACCTTTTATGTCTTGATCATTTTTCTGTATCTTCAAAGCTGTAGTCCTGACAGGTCTTCTCGCGAAGGTCTTTTTTCGGTCGAAAATGACAGAACATGACGTCACTCTGACGTCATTTGTGGCCAACCTATCATAGCCTCTGGAAAAATTTTTGATCACAATGTGTAAAATTGATGCCCGGAGGGGTCCTGAAAGTTTGGTGGCGATATCTCCAGCCGTTTAGGAGATATCGACCGAAAAGGACAGGGAGGGGCCGTTTCGGCCCCCCCCCCCCTACGGGGCGCGGGTTAAGTGTCACATATGCTATCGTGCTTAGTTGTATGTATGTATGCATGTATGTATGTATGTATGTATGTATGTATGTATGTATGTATGTATGTATTGACATCAAAAGCCTTCCACATATGGCGTGGTGATTACGGCTTTGGCGTGGCGACACTAGTTGCGATCCATCTGGCGTGTAGCTAGTTTCTCACGGTTTTCATTTGGTGGCGTGAGTGTAGGTTTGTACGAGTAAAGCGGTGTGTGTCCGTATAAGTGAAGTGGTGTGCGGGTGTGCCGTGCAGCTGCCGAGGAGCCCAGTGGGGAGTACTGGCGGCAGCTGGCCGAGAGCCGGCAGCAGGCGCTGGAGGAGGCCCTCCAGGAGAACCAGCAGCTGCACGAGCAGCTGGACACCGCCCGAGAGGAGATCCGGCTCATGCGCGAGGCGCTCGAACAGGCCGAGGGAGTCGTGGCCGCTGTTCAGGTGAGTGGCGCGAAACCGCCCGTGTCACAAAGTTATAATCTGATTTTGGAAGCGTGAGTTTAAGCATGGTGGAGCTAGAGCGTCCCCTGGTGGAGCTAGTGCATCGCGGAAGAAACGACCCTGTGCGCCGTTACGAGACGCACCGACTGATACCTGATTTTAAGATCTCAGGTCAACCGGTGACCTCTGAGGTCAGGTCAAGTGGCCCAAGGTACGGGTTTGGTTTTTGGTAAATAACTTCGCAAAAAAACGGCCGCAGAGCCGCGATTTTGGCATCATCGTGTTCGTCTCGCACAGGCGCGTCGAATGGTATACTTTTTGTTTGGGTGAAGTCAACTTAAGGTGTTGACCTCGGGTCATGGTCAGGTCAGAAGCCTCAAAGTCACGAAGCTGGTCGAAGGAGGTGGTGTTGCATATCATTCGATTCGGCTGGCCTTCCAGTCTCCAGAGTCCATTGGTGTCTTTCCCGACTCGCTAGCTCAATTTGATCAGGGGTTATTGACGAATAACTTATGACCCTTGTGACGTCATAAATGACGCCATGCAAGATCAACAATGCAAAAGTAAAGCATCTTAACTTGCAAGGAGTGCATGATATCACGATTCCGTGTGGGCGGGATAATTTGATATCGTTCCCGACGCCAGAATAATTTTTCCCCATTGACTTATAATGGTGAAGTCACGTGATCGACCTGACCTCATGTGACCTTTAGAAAGAAAAAAAAAACGAGATAGACAAGCTGTGAGACCTCTGCTCATCTGGCACTGAGGGCGTTACGAAGTTGCGACATCTGAAGACCGTGCAGAGGTTCGTCTATGACGCCATAGGTCAGTGACTGACCCGAAAATGCGGTTGGTGTCAAAAGATTTAGCTTGAATCAAAGGTCAGGTATAATGGGGCATTCCACGATAGATCGACCAAAAAAACTTAAAATTTACACCCGCATATTTTATTTTTTGCTTAAAATTGGTCTAATGGGTTGTGATGGGCGGGGAACCCAGCTGTGGCAAGGATTTTTTTCTTCGAACAACGGTATCCGAGATATAGCCTCGGGCAGTTCCTGGAGGTCACGCTGCAACCCAGTGTCCTGAAATTTATTTTTAGGAGAGTGTGATTGAAGCCGCAAGGACGTCAGTATTTCAAAAGGACGTCGATATCGGTGCGGAGCCTCAGCCACTGAAGATCCCTTAAATCTCTTAAAATTAGCGATTTTCACTAGCAATTTTGACTAATAGCATCTGCAGGCACCTCAAAGGATCATATATAAACACAAAGGAATGCCAGTTTACCCCTAGTACAATATAAATTTCAATCATTCACCACAAACACCAAAACAACACTTTGAAGATGTCTAGTTCTTGTCCATGATCGTACACAAGTCAATAACAAATATGCTTCAACAAAAATCAGCCCAAGAGCCAGCGGCTATCACTAAATATTGACGTCATAAGAGGGATATTATATCGAGCAAGAGGAGTGACGTAAAAAAGCAGACGTCCAAACAAAGAGGTGGAAAACAGTTAGGAATATTAATTTCCATAGCTTCCTGTTATGAAATTCAATTAAGAAAACTCCAAGGTAGACGCTGAATTTTTCTTGGCTGGAAAAAATGTGAAATCATTGTGCACTTTTCAGTTTTGTACCGACGTCGATTTAATGGGAATGACAAGGTCAATCGACGTCCCCAACATAACGTGTATTTTTAAGCCAAGGACGACATACTTTAATTAAAACTGTTGAAATTCGGTAACTTTATTTTAATTCAAATAAACAAACACAAACTTTTTCCCCAACTACTATCAACATATGCAAAATTAACTACTTTTGAAGGGTAGGTTCAAGGGGCAGCGCTACCCCGTTACTGTGACCTTCTGAGGGGAAAAAATAATTAAATATGTTACAGTGATTTGATACAAAAGGTATGTTGTGTGCTTATAGATAAATGTCGAAGTAATATATTCGCATGATTCATTTTTATCTATACACTGCACAGTTACTAAAACTGAAAAGTGGAAAACGACGTCCTCAGATCCCTCTATTCCAACGTCTTTTCTCCTTCATATGACAGCTATTACCTTCACATGATAAAGGAAAAAACTATACATATCTGACGCACAGAAAACGAAAATAAAACCGCGTTGTTTACTGTTGGGCGGTTGGCCAGCGGTCTATGGCCTTGCCAGCGGTGTAGGAAACGGGAGTTGAGTATAAGAGTGGGTTTGTGAGGCCTTGGGATATATTTATTATCATTTTGCATAGCTGTGTTTTTAGGCCACAGAGGTGATATTTCTTTTTGTTAGTTTGCTTTTAGTGTTCGATATACCTGTCGACTTTTATCTGTCAGGGACGTCGTTTGGCTTTCCGGGACGTCGCAAAGAGAATCTGTTCGGGTGTGGGTTTCCACCCAAATTCACGAAAATCAGGACACTGCTGCAACCCTATGTTTGACGGCTTATAACTCAGAAACTATTGGTTTTCTATGGTAAAAACTTGATATGGTTCAACTCGCAATCAACCAAAAAACGTTTTGGCTATCTCGGATTTTCGATTTTTGAAAATTTTGATCACGTGACATCTTGACCTTTTTTCGAAGAGTGACCTTGATATTTTCCTAACTGAAAGTCGCAATTTTGTCTGATGACGATTAAAGCCTTATCAATTGTCATTCATATGCGATAATAAAAAAGTGGCTTTCGGCCTGCGTTGACCTCAGGTCAGGTCATTTTTATGACCTTCCCATTATTACGAGCGGGACCGACAGCGAGATCTCGAGAACAAAGCAAGATAGCGACAAGCGGTATACGGCACAGGGTACACATGGATAAGGTCTACAATTTTTACTCAGGTCATTTTCAGGTCAGGTCAAAGATGACGTCACAGGGGTAAAAAGAAAGTCTAAATGGCGGCACTACATGTATATGAAGTTTTTCTCGAATAACTTTCGAAGTATCCCAGCTAGGAACAAACTAATAGCACCATCGTGATCCTCTCGTCGATCCGCATCGAAACATGTGTATGTTGACCTCGAAGGGTCAAGGTCAAAAGTTGACCTTAGGTCACGTGACCTTAAGGTCATCATATATATCATTCGATGGGCCATGACGAGCTGAACACAATGAGCCTATCCGCGCGGCTGTATCTCAAACCTGTAAGGAGTTATTAGCAAAAAAACATTTGGTGACCTTTAATAACGTCACATGACCCAAGACCAACGTCACAGTTGACCAAGAGCAAAAAAGGTCTCAAGGTAGTCAAAGTTAGTCGCATTTGGAGTCACTCATGGTATATTAGGCAATTCTGACGCTTTTTAGTGTAAAAATAAGGGAGCTGATTTTTCCCCAATTGACTTATAATAGGGTGGTCAAGAAATTGACCTGACCTCAGGTCATCGGTATCGAGATTCAAAACGAACTGGCGCTAGGTGAAAGCAAACGGATTGGTGCTTATTCTACGTCCCTTTCTTTATTAGATCAAAAGGTACAGCCAAAAACGGAAAATTATTGTGTGTTCAACGCGTGACCGAGGATGACCTTTCAGCGGGTCACTGATACAAAGCTGCACCAGTTCCATCAATAATAGCCTAACTCAACATGATTCAAAAGTATTTGAACCGGTCAGATGCGTTTCGGTGGTAGCCGATATTTCTGCCATTGACTTATAAAGGACAGGTCAAAAAATGACCTGATCTCAGGCCGATGCAGACCTGATGCAGGCCGAAAGCCACTTTTTTATTGTCGCATATGAATGACAATTGATAAGGCTTTAATCGTCATCAGACAAAATTGCGACTTTCAGCTGGGAAAATATAAATGTCACTCTTCGAAAAAAAGATCAAGATGTCACGTGATCAAAATTTTCAAAAATCGAAAATCCGGGATAGCCAAAACGTTTGCTGGTTGATTGCAAGTTGAACCATATAAAGTTTTTACCATAGAAAACCAATAGTTTCTGAGTTAAAAGCCGCCAAACATAGGGTTGCAGCGTGACCTCCAGGAATTGCCTGAGGCTATATCTCGGAAACAGTTGTTCGGAGAAAAAAAATCCTTGGCACAGCTGGCTTCCCCGCCCATAACAAGCCATTAGACCAATTTTAAGCAAAAAATAAAATATGAGGGTGTACGGCTTTCGTCGATCTATCGTGGAATGCCCCGTATGCCAAGTTTCATCTCTCTTTATCGCCAGCGTGTTCGGAGCTATTGCGAAAAAGACCCTATGGGGGAAGGGGGCGGCAGTCGTCACCCCCGGCCCCCCTCCCCCTCGGCGGGCGAGGGTTAACCTGCGCCCCGCTTGGGGGAGGGGGCAGAATCTGCCCCCTCCCGTTTTTCGCCAATAACTTCTAAACGCGTTACGCCAGCGACGTCAAACTTTCACTGCCTTATCATACGTCAATTTGACACTTTCCCTGAAAATTTGAGCGAAATCCGTCGGAAAACTTTGAGAAATTGACGTTTTAGTGACGTCATGTTCGCCATTTTCGCCTCAAAAACGGCAAAATTTCAAGCGCCGCTAACATCTTCATTTTTAAAGGAATCAAGACGAAACAAAAAAGGTTATACGTGATTCTACTTTGTCTATCAAATGGCTGTCTCGGTTTTTGAAAATTTTGGATTTTGGCCCAATATTTTTCAAAAAACTTTTTTGAAAATAATTATAAAATCCAAAATTTTTAGTAGTGTATCGAAAAAAACGGAATATATGTCAGAGAACTGGTTTATGTGCACCTACATACCCAGGGACGTAGCCAAGGGGGGGCGGAGGGGGCGCCCGCCCCTCCCTTGGGGTTTTCAGGAGGCCCCCCGAAAGGATTCAGGCCAACGTGGGCCGAAGGCCCACGTTGGCCTGAATTCTTTCGGCCTGAATCCAACGTGGGCCCACGTTGGCCAAAATCACGTCGGAGGTGAACGAAATTCACCCGGGAATCTAAAAAATGAGGTCAGAACAATCAGGGCCCTCTGACCAGCCTGACAAGTGACAGCTAGGGCCCTTCTCATCTCCTGTGAATAACCACTAGTGTCTGTGTCTGACCGCTAAGGCCCCTCTGACTCCTCAGTAGAGAGGAGGCCCTCTGTGGGTAGGAGGCCCTGTGTAGAGAGGAGGCCCCCTTAGAGAGGAGACCCCCTGTAGAGAGGAGGCCCTCTGCAAAAAGGAGGCCCTCTGTAAAAAAGAGGCCCTCTGTAAAATAGAGGCACTCTGTAAAAAGGAGGCCCTCTGTACTCTGTAGAGAGGAGGCCCTCTGTAGAGAGGAGATCGTCTGAAGAGAGGAGGCCCTCTGTAGAGGAGGACTCCCTCAGTGAAAGGAGGTCCTCTGTAGGTAGGAGGCCCTCAGTAGAGTGAAGGCCCTCTGAAGAGAGGAGGCCCTTTGCAGAGATGAGGTCCTCGGTATAGAGGAGGTCCTGTGTAGAGACGAGACTCTGAAGAGAGGAGGCCCTACATAGATAGGAAGCCCTCTGTAGAGAGGAGGTCCCTGTAGAGACTAGAGAGGAGGCCCTCTGTAGAGAGGATGCCCTCTGTAAAGGAGGCCCTCTGGAGAGAAAGACACCCTCAGCAGAGAGGAGGCCCTCTGTAGATAAGAGGCAATCTGTAGAGAGGAAGCCCTCTGTGGCTGTGTTGGTATTTTTACGATGGATGCAATTACCCAAACCATTTATCAGACCGTGGTGATATTCCCATAGCCATGCTTCGCACAACTCATAATAATTTATTTGACCGGGAAATTAATATATACCTATCCATCGATTGTTTGTTTCATCTACGGCGTAAATGAAGCAAACCACCTGGACCATAGGAAAATTTACTAACGAAACCATGTTTTACTTACAGCAAGTAAACGTGGCATCATTCACACATAAAAAATTGATAACCGTATAGTTTTAATCTTGCAGACGTCAGTCAGGTCAGAATCGTGACAAGCCTATTGGAAAATATAATGAACTGTGTCCTGCTTCGAGAAAACGAATCAAAACCACCCAATTCCTTCTGAATTAGGTACGTCAGGTCAGATTATCTGATCTGTAAGCACCCAGGTGGCATTTACTGACAGGGGCACCGGGGAGGATCATCTGAGGTGAGGTGAGGTCATCAACAGTTTTTAGCCAATAAATCACGACATGATGGGGCTAGATAGTTGTTAGTGTACCAAACCATTCGCCTGGTCATGACGCGCCGATTGGTACCCAGCGTGACCTTCCTAGGTCAGATTTTGAAGTTGAACTATCTATGTAGGTCGTTATAAACCATGTTATTTGTTATGACCTCTGGCGACCTCAATATTGACCTGACCCAAAAAAGTTGTTTACAAAAGTTGTAAGTCGTTCAACGAACTATCAAACGCCGTTGCCGTTTGTCGCTACGATTCGTGCTTTTCGAGTTCTGACGGGGGCCAAAAAGGCCCCCGCCCGATTCAGTCTTTCAGAGCCCGCCCGGAATACGGTTAAGCGCTTGAACGATATATGATAATACACCAAGTGTTAGGTACTCTGACCGTCATCCAGTATCCATCCATTCCTCGCAGATCCTCCCCCCCCCCCCCCTCCTGCTGCGGTCCGGCCGCCGGCGCCCGAGTTTTTTTTTTTTTTTTGCCAGTTACCATGCCACTGGGAGACTTGTGATATGCGTATGTTTCTTACCGCGACAGCGGTAAGAATAAAGAAACATACCAGTGCGCTGGCCATATGAAAGCTGAACAAAAGTCTGCATTATGTTGTATATGTAATTACATATGTAGGCATGAGACCCTCTGTAGAAAGGAGGCCCCTTTAGGGAGGAGGCCCTCTGTAGAAAGGAGGCCCCCGGGATTCCTCCGCCCCTCCCTTGGCCAAATCCTAGCTACGTGCCTGTACATACCAATTTTTAGAAGAATCGGTTCAAAAATGTGGGAGTTATTCAAAATTTTATGACATCACGACACGCAGAATTTTGGAAAAAAAAAAATAATTTTTTTGGAAGTTCTAGACCTCTTACGGAAACAAAAATAGCACCATTCGATTCGCCGTGAAAAACTGCATCAGATAGACACCTTTTTAGGCCTTAACAACCAACTTTAAAATTTGACCTCACTTGACCTGACCTTGACCTGACTTTGACCTGAAATTCATCCAGAGGTGGTCCATATCACTTATTGAGTGTGCCCATTGAATTCTATGAGTAAAATGACCCATAAAGCATGTGTCGCACATGCCCTTTTCTATATTTTGTTTTTGGTGACCTGACCTGACCTGAACTTGACCTTGACCTTGACCTTTGAATGACATTGTATGCAACGAATATTGTCTTGGTAGTCTAAAACACGTTTTGGGCAATCAGTCTCAGTCCATTCTTCGGCAACTACGGTGCAAGGCCGATACTGTAGAAACTTGCATTTTGTACCCTTGACCTGACTTTGACCTGACCTCTGACCTACTTAAGCAAAAGAATTTGGGCTCTTAAGATCCGCCTTGTTGAGAGCTTTTGATTGCCGTTTACCCCGTCTTTCTACGACCATCGCGGGTTCGGAAGTTCGGGTTCGGAAGGTGATTATTGATGGAAATTGATTGACAGTATATCGTGCACAAAATAAATTTCCTACGATGATTCGAAAGCGACCATTGATGTGTCTGACTTTGGATAGTGTATGACCAGCTGATACTGAGCTGTGAGCCGCTGTTGTCGTTTGTACTGATGTCCGCCTTTCTTTCAGGAGTGGTCAGACGAACAGGAGCAGGCGCAGTGAACGGGACCGCTGAGGGGTTCCTCGTTCACCTCATCTCTGCGTTATCTCATCACGTCAACCAGCCCAGGAAGTGAAGGTGTGTCGCAGCTTCGTGTATCGGTTGTGCCTGGTCTACACTGTCGTGAAGGAGAGTAGTGTGGATCGTGCTCATTTTTTCTGCGGGCCGTCCGTCTTATGCCTTGACTTACTAGTGCTGATAGTACAAAAGGAAAAAATGCATTTCACTTGTACCTAGGTTGTCACATAAGTGTCCATATTTCAATAAACAACATTGTATTTTATCTTTTTTATTTCATATTGAGCTTCAAATCTCTTGAGGGATAAACATGAACACCCACCAAAAATAATGCCCAAGACGGTCACTTGAACAATGATTCTATCTAGTAATGCATTCTCGTGTTATTTGTCATTATTTCCGTAAGATAGTCGTGTTCGTGGCCGATAGTTGCGAGCCTGTGTCACGGGTGACCGGCGGCGCAGAGCGAATTGGGGCATTGTGAACACAGGCAGTGTTCACATCATCTACCTTTACTCCATCTTCGTTCGACGCCAGACACAACAAAAATGACTGATCGCAAAATTATAAGAAGAGATAGGACAGCCGTTCGTTTAGGATGACAGCACCTTCCGCTTCTTCTGGGCGACGTCTTTCTCGATAGGGTCGTCGAAATACTTGTCGTTTTTCTCCTGGGACGTCTTCTCTGCTAGCACAGTGGCGGCGACCATAGCCTCCATGTCTTCTTTGTTGTAGTACTGGTTCTGTGGGCACGACGGGGCGGGACACATTATCAGAAGGTGCAAGCAGGGTCGCGCAAGAGAGGTTCTGTAGAGCCCTTCGTCTCTCCCCTTCCCTGGTTAACCGTATTACGGAATATTCCTTATTCAAGTGCGCGTCAAGAGGATCAATCGGCACCGTGAACAGTCCACGACTATTTACTATGCAAGTCGTTTTGCACGACGTGAATTCTGCTGGTCTGCTGAGTGCCGAGATGAAGCTTTTTGATAACTGATGTGATTTTTGGCGTGCACATTCATCTTCCTAGCGATACGGTTTACGACATCTTAGGCACTTTGCAAGATTTCAGTCATCTTAGACGATATGTTATCTTTTTACTGCGACCAAAGGGAAATCCTAATAATTGCCTCCGTTTGCAAGATCTATGTGTAAAACACGCTGGTGGTCTCAACAATCGTGCTAAACCAATTGCAGTCGGTCAGACAGATGTCAGTGTCGATTTACGGCAGTAATCGGCCGGTGCCGACAGAACATTGCTGCTCATGACTGACCGATCGAGGCGATTGACTGGCTCGCTGGTTTCGAGGAAGACCGGAGGGCTACCCAGCTTCAATGTTTATTGCAAATTGAATATTGATACAAAAGCGGGCAGACGTGTCAGAAATGGAACTCACGCGGCGCAAACCCTGTAGGATTTACTTCGTGTATGCGTGATGTGATCGAATTGCCGAGTCCTAACAGTAAACTGTCATTCTGTAAACAGGATCGCTCATCCATGCGGCGAACTTTCCAAAGCACACACGTGAACTTTTGTCTGTTCAGCGCGGCTCAATGTCCATCTCTGAGTGTAACGTTCACGTGACTTTACCTAACGAGTTTTACCATCCCACTTCCTAGCAATATCTAAATCATTGCCTGGCAATTGCGTTGCCTAAGACCGAGCCGAACACCAAACTAAGCGGGGTCTTTTAATGCAGTAATGCTCCTTCCATGCCGGTTACCGGCCGGTCGATATGTCGCCCAGCGTTGCCGTTTGGCCTCGATGCCGCACGGCCTCGAGGTCACGGCTCACCATGCGGTGTGGCACACGGCGCCAACACGCAGTTCTCAATGAGCTTGAAGCTTTTGAATAACGCGTAGTATTTCCACAACCGTCTACAAGGTGTCTCAAAAGTTCGCTTACAGGTACCAGCCATGCTTTTTTGTCAATAATTCTGAATCAACATGAAATTAACAGTCGAAATTTTGCATGGGCATTGGTAACAACCTTCCTCAAGTAGCTTCATTGTTTTCAAGCGCATTCGACCCTTCATGAGCTCACAAAAAGGGTTCACCTCTGACCATGGATCAGGCATGAAAATGGAGGTCGCGTACTCGGGTCGGCTGAGAAACTCTCTGCTTCACGAGTAATGGGAATGGTTAGGTCGGAAATGACACATGGCAAAGTGTCGGCGAGGATGAGTACAACATGATGGTCATCTAATAAAAACGGTGGCTAAAATTTTTGAAGGACAAAACCATGCGAGACTAACAGCGTTTTGAACGACCCTTGTACCGCAGCAGACTCGTGCTCCGGAAAGCAGCTGAAAATGCAGTCCTAACTATTGAAAACTGACCAGAAGCTCACAGACAGAGGTTACCCAGTTTCAAAAATTGCAGGTCATCATAAAATAAAGACAAAATATCATTTAAAATTGTTTATAATATCTATAACGCTAAATTTTGAGGGAAAATAATGCGAAAATCGTCCATGCCGAGGACAAGTGACCTTCCAAAAGTGTCAGTTAATGTAAAGTTTTATCTAACGAAGTTTCAAGAGGCAGATCTGGAGCAAATAGCTTTCTTTTACACACAAAATCCGGACAAAACCGCACGATGGACAGGTTTTGGCCGTTTACAAAGCAGAACCTCTCCTGAGGAAAACACTCCGGAACCCAGCGAAGGTCTTGGCATTGGGAATGACGAGCGCTCGGGATTTGCAAATTTTGCCAAATGTGTCTAAGCAACAGATGGCCGACACATTCTGCTACGATATGCTGCGAAAAATTTGCCCCTGGCACTTCCCATTTGTTCAGGAATGGGGTTGTTTTGAAAATGAAAATGGTGCTTGGGAGGTCCGCGCCAGTCATTCATGAAGGAGTTAGCGCCAGAGAAGACCTACAAAATACTCACGGATGGTGTCGATGCAAGCTATCGGCTTTCAGGGAGAAGCGGATGTTGCCGGGGAGCTCGTCAAACCTAAATCCGACGCAGAAACTGCGGGGGATTCCCCTACAAGAGCTTGAAAGCTGGTAACCTTTTATCAGCCTCCGGCAGCTGACGGAGTGACGAAAATCGGTATGGGCAAATATTTTTGGAGATACAGCAAAGGGTTTGGTTTCCAACCTTCCGAATCAGTTGTCAAAGCATGCATATTTGTCTAGTGTACACACGGACACCAAAACCTTAGATTTTTGGCCGGTCCTTATATGCTTTATTGACATGGGAAATGTGTAAACGAACTTTTGAGACACCCTGTATATCGGCATTGGCGGATTCAGAAAGGCGGCATTTAGCGCTGCGGGGTCGTATTCCATTAAAGGTTGCTGATTAAAAAATACTCGGATTTCGCTTTCGATGTTTCGATTTGCTGAATATAAATTTAAAGGGACTATCCCACCTTCTAAAATGTTGTTAAAACCAGTTAAATTGTGCCCCACTTCATAGATTGGATGACCAGGAACACGGTTCTGGCATTCATTTTTCATTAAACATCTTAGGCTTCCCATATTCCAAACACAAACTTTCAAATATGTGACGTCCCAGCCCAAAATTACCTCCTTCCCCAGGCCACATTACTGTCATAAAGCTGATTCCTTTTACTCTGTAGGCACCACAACAAAGTTCAGACCAAGTTTTAAGCGATTTTTCAACGAACAAACCCATTTAAATCAGAATGACTAAACGAGGTGACGTCACACTAACGGTCGCTCCATGTTGAAGATAGGGCCTTGCGCAAGGCCCATTTTCAAATGAAGGGAACGAATTTCTTCAACACCAAGAGGCCGCGGGGTTGCAACCTAGATAGATCGTGGTTTCTGAACCTCGCCGCAAACTTGGCTATCTCAACTCAAACCAGGGGCTCCGCCACGGTTTTGGGATTGGGGGGGGGGGGGGTCCGATCGAAAACACAAAACCTCGCTGGCGGATCCAGGGTGGGCATTTTGGGCGAATTCTTTCTGCCCCTGCAGCTCCCGAAGATGAGGAAAAATTGCCGCTTTTCTACAGCTCAAAGAAAACTTTATAATTCTATCAGAATAATTTTGCCTTAAACCGAAAACCAAGGCTCAATTTGCACAAGAAATCGAAAACCGAAAAGCGGAGCCCATTGGCACCGACATAGCGACCTCTCAAATCAACGTTTTTGAGCAATGGAGGCCGCTGTTGCGCGCTCCAAGGGCGGTGTTAGCCATCAGACAGCGCATTAGGCTCTCAGTGACTGGCATGCGCATCAGCTTGGGAACTCAGGGACCTTCATAGGCGCTCAGATATCTATGTACCTAGGCTCTTAGGCCAGTGCCGGGTCCTCCAAGGCCGTAGTTAAAGGAAAGCGCAGGGCTTTAGGAGTCGTTGAAGGGATTTGAAAGCCCTGCCCTCATACATATAGCAGTATAGAGCCCTTAGAGACTGACATTCAGTCTCTATGATCAGAGAGTGACCTAGCTTGACCTGAAAATGGATATCAAAATGCTGCAATTGAATCAAAGGTCAGGTTATGCAGGGGATCCTGTAAGAGTTGTGATTTGTAGACGTATCTCTACCGACCTGCATTCAGAGTCCTGTGCAGATTATTGCAGATTACCTCAGAACGGTGTGAGGCTGCTTAGACTAGTACGGTGCTTGAAAGACCGGCTAAACCCCCTTCCCCCAACACTATCGGTTGACCTCACATGGAAAAAGGATTCTCAGATCGCTTTGAAGCTCTTTTGGGGCGGGTATTGTGTCTAGGTGTCCTGCAAGCTGGACCTCCCTCACGAAATTATAGCCGAATTCTAGCATGCTGAGGTAATCCTATAGCAATCTTAAACGCATTCATTTTAATAACAAAATGGTAGAATAATGACACTCCCGTACCTACATATAGGTCGGCGAGAGTTGATCGCTTCGTGTGTCACATTTTAAGGGATCCCTACATTTCTAGATCTTAAATTCCTTAGCTTTGCGACTGTCAACACTGCACATTCTAAATTATTCAACACATTCTGTGAATGATTTAGTCATTCTTACGCGAAAACAAGCTTATAGGTATTCGGAATATTGGAGGGTACTGTACCCCCCCCCCCCCAGGTAAATTATTGAGGGGGTCCGGACCCCCGCGTACCCCCCTGTGGCGGAGCCCCTGACTCAAACCCCATGTTAAAGGTGGGATAGTCCCTTTAAGGAACTTTTCCAAAATCAGTATTCGAGTCTTTCAGTACGAAGAAAACGACAAAATAACGTCAGTTTCGGTTGTTGTGGTAGGGCAAATGTCCGGTCAGTGGCGCAGCCAGGGGGGGGTCAGAGGGT